ACCCCTGGCTCTAATGCAGTTCCACCTCCGACAACGCCAAAACAACGCTATGCAGATGTCAATCTGATTGAATCTGGCGCCAAGATCTGCATAAAGTCAATAAATAAATCACTTAATCTAATTTACATATTAATCAGCGTTGTTACACAGGTCCCACGGGGCTGCCAGAGGATGTTAGACCCTCACACATGCATGCATGCACGTATGCACACACACACACACGCTGGTGCTGCCTTCCATTTTTGAGATACAACTCCGGATCCTATCAGAAAAGGTATGCAGCATTTGAAGACAATAGAAAAATGACACAAATGCCATTTATGACACTTATTGCAAGAGAGGATGTATGCAAATTCATGGACATCAAATGAGGTCTGACATTATACTTTAATTATTGTAGCCTCTTTATTTTGCTTCTCCATAGAAGAGCTTTCAGAGAACAGGGACAGGAGGTATTAGGTTCAAGCCAGGGTCCTGATTAGATCTGGTAGTCTAGCTTTCACCAGTTCCTCTGCATACAGAAAACATGTGCCAAACAGTACAGCAAGAAAAGAAGCCACAGTTTGTAATATGTTGGAACCATGGTGTGTGTATTTGTGACTCGTTTCAGGAAACTAGGCGTATGTCGCGCTTCACTACTTCACAGGAGAGGCATTTGAACGTAACCTTTAAAAAAAAAAAACTAAATGCGTTTTTTGGCAGAAATGCCTTCTGGAACATGTGAACTTTCATGTGCCTTAATAACAAATTTGTATGCCATCTGTAAATACGAATAAAATTGTTAAATTACGAGCCTAATTGGTTTAGCCACGGAAAAAGACAGGAACCTTCCCGCTAGCCATGATTGGCTGAGATAATGGATGGGCTGGCCATGCCAAGAGATGAGTTCGGATTGGTCTGCCATGTGGCATGCTTCTGTCTATAACATGAGCTGGTCAGTATGTGTAGGTAATCCTTTCTAACGCTGCTTTTTTGAAAGATATCACATAGTAGGACTGCAAAAGTGTTGCTCTCCATTTTCTGGAGGACCGAGTTTTGAAATTAGTGGAATGCCCGGTGGAATTAGAGTATGATAGCTAAGGATATGGAGAAAATTCAGCCATTTGATTGCAAATATGCAGAGGGAGTCGAAAAGAGAACACACAGAAGGCTGTTGTATAAAACACTTGTCTCCGGATTACATCTTCAAACTAAGGGCAACCATGGCATCTGTGACAGAGAGGGAGAAGCATCCATGTATACGGGTAAGATAGTCTAGTAAATTACATTTTCAGATTTTGTCAGAAAGTCGTTTTCATTTCAAGTTAAAGCGTACTGTTTGCTAGCTAGCTAATGTTAGCTGGCTGGCTCGCTAGCTAATGTTACGTGTATGATCTGAGTAGTAATATTATTAGTATCTCAGAGCCATTTGCATTGCTAGTTTTAGCCTAATGTTAGCTAGCTAACATTGAACCTGGTTGGTTAGCTACCTGCAGATTCATGCAGGGTAGTAACGTTATGAGTTGGGATTATGGTTCTTTGTTTAGCTTGCTAGCTAGCTACATGTATAAACAAAAGACTCCACTATGCAAGTAACCATTTCATTACATTTTCTGTATCCTGTGCATGTGACAAATAAACTTTGATTTTATTTGATATAGTATGTGTTTACCAGAGAGGGTAATGTGAAGAACATGACCTGCACCAAAGTCAAATTAGAATATAACGTTAGGCCAACGAGACAGTGTCCAAGTTCTAAAATTCTCTGGTAGAGTGTCCTGCTTTTATTTTGTCACACTCACAACCGCACGCTTTTTTCTGTAATTGGCTTGCCATTAACTTGTAAATAATGATCTTGTTTTGAGTTTATTTTCATGTAATAATGAAGACAAATGAGCTAAAGTGAAGACGTTGTCAGCTATATGATATGATCATTATTTGAACTGGCTAGCCAGCTAACTTAACATTAGCTAGCTAGCTAACAAGATAGAAACAAACCAAAACATTGTTTAGAAAGTTGCTTTTAGTTGCCTGGTTTGCTAGATTGACATATACTAAATTAATTCTTAAACGGGTGGGTTTATTGGTGTTAAAATACACTAGTTACAGTGAGGGAAAAAGTATTTGATCCCCTGCTGATTTTGTACGTTAGCCCACTGACAAAGACATGATCAGTCTATAATTTTAATGGTAGGTTTATTTGAACAGTGGAACAGAATAACAACAACAAAATCCAAACAAATGCATGTCAAAAATGTTATAAATTGATTTGCATTTTAATGAGGGAAATAAGTATTTGACCCCCTCTCAATCAGAAAGATTTCTGGCTCCCAGGTCTTTTATACAGGTAACGAGCTGAAATTAGGAGCACACTCTTAAAGGGAGTGCTCCTAATCTCAGTTAGTTACCTGTATAAAAGACACCTGTCCACAGAAGCAATCAATCAATCAGATTCCAAACTCTCCACCATGGCCAAGACCAAAGAGCTCTCCAAGGATGTCAGGGACAAGATTGTAGACCTACACAAGGCTGGAATGGGCTACAAGACCATCGCCAAGCAGCTTGGTGAGAAGGTGACAACAGTTGGTGTGATTATTCGCAAATGGAAGAAACACAAAAGAACTGTCAATCTCCCTCGGCCTGGGGCTCCATGCAAGATCTCACCTGGTGGCCAAGTACAAGAAACGTCTGACCTCTGTGATTGCCAACAAGGGTTTTGCCACCAAGTACTAAGTCATGTTTTGCAGAGGGGTCAAATACTTATTTCCCCCATTAAAATGCAAATCAATTTATAATATTTTTGACATGCGTTTTTCTGGATTGTTTTGTTGTTATTCTGTCTCTCACTGTTCAAATAAACCTACCATTAAAATTATAGACTGATCATGTCTTTGTCAGTGGGCAAACGTACAAAATCAGCAGGGGATCAAATACTTTTTCCCCCTCACTGTATGCTATTTTGGACCACCAGACTGCTGATGTCATGCAGCCTGTAGTTTTTCTATTCATACTTTTTCATAACGACAACGACAAGTCTGATGTCGGACGACAATAGAATGTTTATGATGTCACTGCGATAACTGTCGATAGACGTAGTATAAACCAGCCTATACTCTTGAAATCATTGGTTGTTTAGTACATGACCTCACAAGTGAATCCTTAAAGAGTAATACAACAGGATACAACAGATGTAGGATCTTAATTTGAGCCAGTTTGCTACAGCAGGAAAATAATCTTGCAGCAACGGGAAATGTGAATTATTATGTGGATTATAATTAAAGTTGCAATATTTTTTGGGGGTGACCTGACCAAATTCACATAGAAATGTGAGTTATAGATCTGTCATTATCATTGAAAGCAAGTCTAAGAAGTGGTAGATCTGTTCTATGTGCGTTATTTCTATGCTTCCCATTCTTAAGTTTAGTTTTTTGTCTTTTACTTTCAGTTTGGTACATCAGCTTCAAACAGCTGAAAATAATATATTATTGGTTATTGAAAATATATTTCTCAGCAGTTTAGATGGTACAATAATTCTCTACACTATACTTGCTTGTTTTGTCACATAAACTGAAATTAGGGGAACTATTAGAATTTTGCAACCAGGAAATGGTGGAGAGATTTCTGCATAGTGCATCTTTAATGGACATTTTCTGTAAGGGTTGATACATTTTTCGTTTGGGCAAATCAAGTTTGACATTTTAAAGTGGAAATTACAAACGTTAGAAGCATTTTTAAACCTAGAATACACTACAAGTTTGTATTTCCTGCTGTGCAGGAAAATTCTCAGCAACAAAATAGTGATCAAATTAAGATCCTACATCTGTATGACCCGAAATAGACAGGAAAGCTTCTGAAAAGACAGAAGAGAGCAAAGTTCTCTCCGTTTCGTCCATAAGTTACAGGCACAAGGAGTCATATTTCATTTTTCAACTTTATATTTTCCAGTAGCAAGATTAACTATTTCCCCAACGTTAAAAAACAGAGAATCATAAAACTATAAAATCTAAATAAATCAAAAACAAATATTTAAATCACAGATTTGTTGTAAGAAATGGTGACCCAAATGCATTACAAATAATGCATAGTAAAACTGTTCCAGTGAAAGGTCTTCATCAGAACTGTCCATATGTCTCAAAATACACCACAAGTCTCTCTCTCTCTCTCTCTCTCTCTCTCTCTCTCTCTCCCGCTCTCTCTCGCTGTCACACACACCCACACCCACATCATCCTTGCTCATTATAGCTTTCCTTCATTCAACAGTGGAGTAGTGAAATTATATTGACCATCTTGTAGAATACGATACTTAAAACAATAATTACAATTATGAATAAATCAATCATAACAAATCAAATGCACAGTATGTTATATCATTCCGTTTCAATCAAATGTCTTTACAACTAGCTAAATAGAAACAGTTTCTACTAGATTTATGACTAAAATGTGTTTCAATATAAATCACTTTCATTCATTTCTTAAGATGTGAAACGATTTTCATATACACAGAGACGGTATAAAGGTGTAGTAAAAATATTTCCACAAATGTACAGTATATTCCTTCACATTTCAAGATCTGATATAACTTAAGTGGTCAGCATAGTATTGATACAGATAAGCTATGTGTTGATGCTGTAAAATGTAGCTTTATAAGCAACTGTCCTCTTTAGTGTTCTCATTTAGAAATAACAATATAACGCCAACACCCGTCTAGACTCTACAAACGATGATTGATTAATTTCAAATATATCAATTATTGCTTTAGTTTACATCATGATTAGGTTGCCTTATCAAACAGATTATCTAAAAACACAGTCTAAAACAAATAGTTGAAAATACAGTGGTTGCCAAACATTTTGTTTACCATTGACATACATAAAGCCTTTCAAATATCCAATCACACAAATCCATGTTTTTAGTCACATCCCTGTTTTCAGCCATGTCCCATGACCCACAGTTTGGAAAACACTGGGTTGATACAATACAATAGGCTAACAACAATCTGGATGTAAATACTCCCAATGCTATCAATCTTCGTGCTGTCGCCTGCAGTTCACCCCCCCCCCCCCCCCCTCTCTCTCCCTCTCCCTCTCTCCCTCCCTCTCCCTCTCCCTCTCGCTCTCTCCAGTCTCAGTGTTTGGCTACTACATTCCAGAGATACTGGGTCCAGACTAATACTCTGTGTGCTGACTGATGGAAGCACATATCCACATACACCCTAATTGCACCCCACCCAGAATAACTAAGCATTGTTCTATTGGAGTAGTAGTTCCCCTGCACACTGATCTACGGTCAGTTTTGTGAGACACTGGTGTGAAGTCTCATTAATCTGTGCTAGGAGCATAAAAAGGCTGTGGTAGTGGATTATATCTGTTTGTTCATCTCAGGAAGGAGTGGAGGAGAGGGGAAGAGGAGGAGTGAAGGAGAGGGGAAGAGGTGGAGTGGATGAGTGGAGTGGTGAGGAGGCTGTGGGAGAGACCTGCCTTACATTCCCCTCATTCTGTCCTACTATGTGTCCTGTGAGTGTGTGTGTGTGTGTGTGTTTGTGATATTTTCTGTCAAAACTTTTTTTTGGCAGAATGATCCATTACTTCAAAACAAATGACAAAATAAAGATGACACATAAAAAGGAAATAAAACAACAGGACTGTGAGTGGCACTACTAAAACAATGACTGTCGATCAACAAACATAAACCAGACACACACACAGGCTGAACAAACCCAATCTCACGTCTCCCACAATACATGTCTCCACTTGTGGAGTGAGAATGAGGAACAGTGGGCGTATAAAAACAGAGAAAGTGCTTGTGGTGTTGAATCATATTAGTCAGTGTTTATGTCGTGTTCACTGGTGTACCTGACACCCCCGCAATCCACGCAAGACCTTCCGAGGGGGCCCCGTGAAACTGCGTTACGCCACTGGTCATGTTTTCATATTTAGCGCTGAATGCTTGATATTTTCTTAAGGGCAACAGTTATAAAAGCTCATACAAAATACATTCTGTCTCAGCATGAAAGGGTACTATGACATTTCAAATTATTTATTTGAAATCTAGATATCTAGAATCCTTGGGTATAAATCTTCTTTCAGCATTATCTTCTAAGATTAACACTATAAAACATGACTTAAAACAAGGTTATAAAACAATGTTTGGCAGACCAAGAGGTTTTGGTCTGTCCCTTCATGATGCTAAAATAGATCCTCTTTCTCTGTCTTGTTCTCTCTACCTCTCTCACACATACCCTTCCTTTATCCACTCCTCTCCCACTATATCCAACTCCCACTCACATTCAAACACACTACATCTCAATCTATATCTCTATCCCCTAATCCTAGTCTAGGGTCTAGTCAAAAACATCCTCTCTCCTTCTTATTTTCTTACACAAACAATCTCTGTCTTCTCCTCTCCCTCTGCCAAGTCCTCTCCACATTGCTGTTCCCCCCCATCTCACCCTCTCTACTGTTTTGGGGCCTCAGAGGTTCAGGGTCTGTGTGTGTATGTATGTATGTATCCATGTATGTGTGTGTATTTATGTGTGTATGTATGTATGTGTGTGTGTGTGTGTGTGTTTGTGTGTGTCTCTACTCAAAGGAGAGCAGGTCGGGGTGTTGTTCAGGCTCCTCTGTGTCTGTAACTGCTGATCCTCTCATACAGAGGGAGCCGTTCTCAATCAGCCCATCCTCACTTACACTCAGACTGATCCTGTATGGAGCCTTCACGGGGGTGGAGGCCAGCCTCATGTCCACTCCCGGGGCCTTCTGCCTGTGCTCAGACGTCTTCGACCTGTGGGGGTCCGGGTGGTCCTTATGGATGAGATCTGGGACAGAGAGCTGGAGCTGAATCTGGGTCTTCTCTGGCTCTCTCCTCTCTTCTGTCTCATCCCCTTCCACTCCATCCAACTTACTACTCCCATTTCTCTCTATCTCCACCACCTCATCCTCCTCTTTCCTCTCGCTGTCCAGAGGGCCAGTCAGTCCGGTGAATCCGTCTCTCCCTCCATCGTTCTCTCCATCCCTCTCTCCCTGGGGTAAGGTCTGCTCCTTGCTGATGAGGGGGGTCTTGTCAGGGGAGGAGAGGAGGGAGTGATCGGGGGTCTCAGGGGGAGTGGTGACGACGGGGTCAGATGAGATCATCATGTCCTGGGTGGTCTTCAGGGCGCGAGGAAGACGCTTCTTACTGGGGGGAGGGGGGTCCAGACGAGGGAAGGAGTCCAGAGAGGTATGACTGGAGGGATAGAGAAGAGAACTGTGTCAATCATTGTGTGTTTCTGTGTCTGTTTAGTAGACAGGGGAGAGAGAAGACGTACAGACATCCGTTTTAGCTCTGTAGTTTAGTGTGTTTATTTTATCAGTGGAATATTTCTCTACCTGTCCCCCATTAACGAGCATATTGCCATGGTGACGACTTATCATCACGGTTTTACCAATTCTATGATGAGGATATGATTTCCGCAGCTGAGAAATGTCTGTCCTGGCCCCATGTGGCAGGGTGGTGACTGTGTGTCAGTCAAGAGAGACAGATCAATGATCAGCTACAGCGTAGACAGACAGATCATTCTGTCTCTTTAGACAGAGGGAGACCCAAGGCTGTGTGTGTGTGTGTGTGTTTGTGTGTGTGTGTGTGTGGTTTAATCTCAGTCTTCAGTCTAACTAACCCTCCTCTTACTCTTCATCACTTATTCACGACCCCACAGTTTGGAAAAATTCTGATGAATCATTTAAACATTTTTGACTCCATGGTTATGATTTTAATATGGGGTGAAAGGACAACGGATTTTTCCAAGCTTAAATAATTCCACTTTAGACAAAATAATACAATGCTTTTTGAAATAACTAGCTACAGTTCGACTCTGAATCAAACCAATATTGGAGTGAATCACCAGAGCACAGTGTCTAAAAGCGTCTGTGTGTACTGTGTACTGTGTACTGTGTACTGTGTGTATCCCTCCTTACCTATTGGCAGTAGTCCCTAGGGTCATCTCCTCCATATTGCTCCAGACTGCTCCTACGTTCTTGTTGACCTCTGTGACCCCGATGTCTCCTAGAAGACTGGGCTCCTTCCTCCGCAACAGGTCGTTGACCTTTGCCCCCACCACCTTGCCCAGGTTCAGGGCGTTCTTCAGCCTATGCTGACCTCCAGCGATAGTGGTGGAGGTGGGGGCCTCGGCAGGGCCGCTACCCAGGGCAGGGTTAGCCGTGACCAGGGAGCGACGGGCAGAGGCCTGGGTCAACCTGGAGGCCTGGAGCCCCTGGCCTGGAGCTCTGGAGGCGTTGGAGTTCTCAAACATACTCTGGTCAACTGGAGAGAGAGAGGGAGGGAGGTAGAGGGAGCGTGTAAGATAGAAGTGAGGGTATTGTGAGGGCACATTCAGTCATGGCATTTCTAGTTAAACGCAAGGTTTCAGATACATGGAACATTACAGGCACCAACGGAATGTTACAGATATAAATGGAATGTATAGAAGACATTAAATCTCATGACCTGGAGCAAAAGAACACTCCTGACATTCCATTTCTAATTGCATCTTTTATGCAACATTGCAGAATGTTGCAAAATCAAAAACATGTTTAAGTATGGCTTACAGGGTGTCTCTAGTGATAGAATGAGCATATGGGGTGCCACAAGGCACAGTGTTACAACCGCTCCATATGGATGCAACACATGTTACACAATCATCAACAAGTCATGATGCAAGCAAGGGGCATGACACATGCACATAACCACATCCACTAATCACAATTAAGCTGAAAAAGGGACCACAATGAATTGCAGGATGGGTAAATGCACAAAGAAGCGGGTTGTTGTCAGTCCACAGCACAATAATATATTTGTCTTACCTCGTGGAGAAAATAATTTCTTGGAAGGCACAACAAGATACAACAAGTGCTTAGATTTAATAAAAAGTGTATTTGTAAAGCGGGTTCCAAACATTGCGTACAAAGCGTTATATAAATACATTTTAAGTTCTAAGTTAAGTCGTTAAGCAGATGGTCTTATGCAGAGTGCTTTCAAATAACCTCCAGTACATACAGTGGGGAAAAAAAGTATTTAGTCAGCCACCAATTGTGCAAGTTCTCCCACTTAAAAAGATGAGAGAGGCCTGTAATTTTCATCATAGGTACACGTCAACTATGACAGACAAATTAAGATTTTTTTTCTCCAGAAAATCACATTGTAGGATTTTTTATGAATTTATTTGCAAATTATGGTGGAAAATATGTATTTGGTCACCTACAAACAAGCAAGATTTCTGGCTCTCACAGACCTGTAACTTGGTTTGAAGAAATCAACTGTGGGAGCAATTATTAGGAAATGGAAGACATACAAGACCACTGATAATCTCCCTCGATCTGGGGCTCCACGCAAGATCTCACCCTGTGGAGTCAAAATGATCACAAGAACGGTGAGCAAAAATCCCAGAACCACACGGGGGGACCTAGTGAATGACCTGCAGAGAGCTGGGACCAAAGTAACAAAGCCTACCATCAGTAACACACTACGCCGCCAGGGACTCAAATCCTGCAGTGCCAGACGTGTCCCCCTGCTTAAGCCAGTACATGTCCAGGCCCGTCTGAAGTTTGCTAGAGTGCATTTGGATGATCCAGAAGAGGATTGGGAGAATGTCATATGGTCAGATGAAACCAAAATATAACTTTTTGGTAAAAACTCAACTCGTCGTGTTTGGAGGACAAAGAATGCTGAGTTGCATCCAAAGAACACCATACCTACTGTGAAGCATGGGGGTGGAAACATCATGCTTTGGGGCTGTTTTTCTGCAAAGGGACCAGGACGACTGATCCGTGTAAAGGAAAGAATGAATGGGGCCATGTATCGTGAGATTTTGAGTGAAAACCTCCTTCCATCAGCAAGGGCATTGAAGATGAAACGTGGCTGGGTCTTTCAGCATGACAATGATCCCAAACACACCGCCCGGGCAATGAAGGAGTGGCTTCGTAAGAAGCATTTCAAGGTCCTGGAGTGGCCTAGCCAGTCTCCAGATCTCAACCCCATAGAAAATCTTTGGAGGGAGTTGAAAGTCCGTGTTGCCCAGTGACAGCCCCAAAACATAACTGCTCTAGAGGAGATCTGCATGGAGGAATGGGCCAAAATACCTGCAACAGTGTGTGAAAACCTTGTGAAGACTTACAGAAAACGTTTGACCTGTGTCATTGCCAACAAAGGGTATATAACAAAGTATTGAGAAACTTTTGTTATTGACCAAATACTTATTTTCCACCATCATTTGCAAATAAATTCATAAAAAATCCTACAATGTGATTTTCTGGATATTTTTTTCTTATTTTGTCTGTCATAGTTGACATGTACCTATGATGAAAATTACAGGCCTCTCTCATCTTTTTAAGTGGGAGAACCTGCACAATTGGTGGCTGACTAAATACTTTTTTTCCCCCACTGTATGTAAGAGTAAATGTAGAGTTCAGAATGTACTGCCTGATTCTTTCTGGCTGATCAGACTAATGCTCCGAGGCCCTAACGGGCTCTTCATGGGGACAAATAGGGACTTTACGGCTAGAAACTGGGTTGGACTGTAACTCTAAACACTACATCTCATCTCTGGACAGAAATATGGAAAGAAACAGTGAGAGCAGTGAGACAGCACAGCACAGGTACCCTTGACTTCACTTTGTGTTGCGGCTGTAATTCAGATGATTTCAAAGACACCGGCAGCTCCAGAGATCTTAGAATACATTAGTGTGTCTTTGGAGAGTGAGCTAATATGAATCAGCAGTGAACGGAGGGTGTTTGAAGGAGGGCGAGAGAGGGAGAGTGGACATCCAGGTGGTTATTCACACAAACACTGATATCTCCTTTCACTGTTAGAGGCCTGCCAGGGGGAAGGATTCTCTGTAGCCTGACTAAAGAGAAGTGCTATTAGAAAAATGATATTTAACAGAAAATCAGTCTGTCTATCTCTGTGTGTGTTTGTGTGACAGCTCTCAGATAGCCATTGTGTGTGCTAGAAAAGCAGTTCCCACACTTCTTTTAGCTAGAATCCCAGTCAGAAGGCTGCATAATGATAGAATAAGGATAGTGTTTTAAGTATGGGCGGGCATGATAATAAATAGCACAAACATAGTCAGCTCGAGACTAAATCCTCCATTACACATTAACTTCCCATGTTAAGACGCTGGAGCTTGTTTGTCTACGGCTGAGGCTGAGACTGGCCCTGTACTATAATACATACTGGTATCCCTCTCTCTGTCAGTCTCTACCCCCCTCTCTCTCTACCCCCCTCCCTCTCTCTCAACCCCCCCCCCCCCCCCCCCCCCATAAATAAAGATAATTAAGTGAATGAAAGACAATTAAATGAAAGAGATATAATTCTAGAAAGACAATCAGCTGTTATGATAGTACGGTACAGTGTGGCACAGCACAGCAAATCAAGTAGAGGAGGAGTACGGAAAGAAAGAAAGAGAGAGAAAGTAAGAAAGGAGACGTTTATTGAGCAAAAGCAAGGTCAGTGACAGAATGAGATGCAGGGTAAGTGCATTTTCACTCCCACACATATAAGGTACAGCACAGTATACTGGGTTTCTCTTTATACAACAGGCCAGGGAAGGACCTGATGGAATGAAACACGTTTTGTACCAGAGAAAAAATACCCGGGTTAACAGAACAAAGGGAGAGAGGTCACACTATTGAGATGCTCCCAATGCAGCCATAGTCACAGGAATAGGAAACTAAGTTTGGCCACAAGTTTGGAACTTAGAATCATAGGGTCCTATATCTGACAACAGTCTAGTTGGGAGATACTGGAATTCAATGTAACGTTCCAATTGGTTTATACTCTGTCAAGCAATCTTTAATTTAAAGTTTTATCTGAAGTGTTATTAAATGTTTTATCTCCAGTGTCACATAATTGGCTGTATTACTAACATATACCCTTAGAGAGAATGTCCATGACGATAACAACTTCTACAGTGTCAGTCAGAGCTTTATGTCAGTCTTATAGGCTGCTGTATCTTTATGGACTCAACTTTCACCTTCATCTGAAGAAAACATTTAGACTTTGTTCTGAGCTGTGAGTAACCCACTTCTGTCAGAGTGACTAGAACACACGCACGCACGCACGCACGCACGCACGCACGCACGCACGCACGCACACACACACACACACACACACACACACACACACACACACACACACACACACACACACACACACACACACACAGTGGGTGAGACTTGGGTTGTTAGTCAGACAACAGCAGCCTTCCTCAAGGAGATGTTGTTATATCACAGTTTGAGACAGGAGGAGAGTATGAGACAATCACAGGGCTGAGTGGAGGAGAGTAGAAGAAAACGTACCACAGGGCTGAGTGGAGGAGAGTAGGAGACAACGTACCACAGGGCTGAGTGGAGGAGAGTCGGAGACAATGTACCACAGGGCTGAGTGGAGGAGAGTATGAGACAATCACAGGGCTGAGTGGAGGAGAGTAGAAGAAAACGTACCACAGGGCTGAGTGGAGGAGAGTAGGAGACAACGTACCACAGGGCTGAGTGGAGGAGAGTAGAAGAAAACGTACCACAGGGCTGAGTGGAGGAGAGTAGGAGACAATGTACCACAGGGCTGAGTGGAGGAGAGTAGGAGAAAACGTACCACAGGGCTGAGTGGAGGAGAGTAGGAGACAACGTACCACAGGGCTGAGTGGAGGAGAGTAGGAGACAACGTACCACAGGGCTGAGTGGAGGAGAGTAGGAGACAATGTACCACAGGGCTGAGTGGAGGAGAGTAGGAGACAATGTACCACAGGGCTGAGTGGAGGAGAGTAGGAGACAATGTACCACAGGGCTGAGTGGAGGAGAGTAGGAGAAAACGTACCACAGGGCTGAGTGGAGGAGAGTAGGAGACAACGTACCACAGGGCTGAGTGGAGGAGAGTAGGAGACAACGTACCACAGGGCTGAGTGGAGGAGAGTAGGAGACAATGTACCACAGGGCTGAGTGGAGGAGAGTAGGAGACAATGTACCACAGGGCTGAGTGGAGGAGAGTAGGAGAAAACGTACCACAGGGCTGAGTGGAGGAGAGTAGGAGACAACATACCACAGGGCTGAGTGGAGGAGAGTAGGAGACAATGTACCACAGGGCTGAGTGGAGGAGAGTAGGAGACAATGTACCACAGGGCTGAGTGGAGGAGAGTAGGAGACAACGTACCACAGGGCTGAGTGGAGGAGAGTAGGAGACAATCACAGGGCTGAGTGGAGGAGAGTAGAAGAAAACGTACCACAGGGCTGAGTGGAGGAGAGTAGGAGACAATGTACCACAGGGCTGAGTGGAGGAGAGTAGGAGAAAACGTACCACAGGGCTGAGTGGAGGAGAGTAGGAGACAACGTACCACAGGGCTGAGTGGAGGAGAGTAGGAGACAACGTACCACAGGGCTGAGTGGAGGAGAGTAGGAGACAATGTACCACAGGGCTGAGTGGAGGAGAGTAGGAGACAATGTACCACAGGGCTGAGTGGAGGAGAGTAGGAGACAATGTACCACAGGGCTGAGTGGAGGAGAGTAGGAGAAAACGTACCACAGGGCTGAGTGGAGGAGAGTAGGAGACAACGTACCACAGGGCTGAGTGGAGGAGAGTAGGAGACAACGTACCACAGGGCTGAGTGGAGGAGAGTAGGAGACAATGTACCACAGGGCTGAGTGGAGGAGAGTAGGAGACAATGTACCACAGGGCTGAGTGGAGGAGAGTAGGAGAAAACGTACCACAGGGCTGAGTGGAGGAGAGTAGGAGACAACGTACCACAGGGCTGAGTGGAGGAGAGTAGGAGACAATGTACCACAGGGCTGAGTGGAGGAGAGTAGGAGACAATGTACCACAGGGCTGAGTGGAGGAGAGTAGGAGAGAATGTACCACAGGGCTGCGTGGAGGAGAGTAGGAGACAACATACCACAGGGCTGCGTGGAGGAGAGTAGGAGACAATGTACCACAGGGATGAGTGGAGGAGAGTAGGAGACAACATACCACAGGGCTGCGTGGAGGAGAGTAGGAGACAATGTACCACAGGGCTGAGTGGAGGAGAGTAGGAGTAAATGTACCACAGGGCTGAGTGGATCAGCGTTCTGACAAAGGGAGAGCAGAGAACCTTGCCTAGCCGAGGCCATTACTACTGATGTGTAAATGAGCCTAACGCTCAACACATACCGTTTAGCGCCTAGCAGGGAGAGATAGATGGGAGGGAGCGAGAGAGAGCGAGAGAGAGGGGGCAGGGAGAGAGAGATGGGAGGGAGAGAGAGAGCGAGAGAGAGAGAGAGAGAGCGCCTAGCCTAGCGCACCACGAAAGACCATTTGACATGTGTGTGTGTGTGTGTGGTGAGAGAAGCAGCATTAGGGACAAGTAGACCAATCAGTCTTAAGTGGCAGAGTGGCTATTTAGCAATGTTGACAGATTATCTTTAAATCTACATGAGTGAGGCTTGTCCAAGGAGGGACAAAAGCCTCACAGGGGTTTATTTAAAAAAAACTTTTTTTTAAACTTACCCAGAGTCAGATGAACTCATGGATACCATTGTTATGTCTCTGCGTGCAGTTTGAAGGAAGTTGAAGGTACACATACAGGTATATATACAAAAGTATGTGGACAGCCCTTCAAATTAGTGGATTCTGCTATTTCAGCCACACCCGTTGCTGACAGGTGTATGAAATCGAGCACACAGCCATGCAATCTCCATAGACAAACATTGGTCTTACTGGCCTTACTGAATAGCTCAGTGACTTTCCAACTAGTCAGTTTGTCGAATGTATGTTCTGCTAGAGCTGCTGCGGTCAACTGTAAGTGCTTTTATTGTGAAGTGGAAACGTCTAGGAGCAACAACGGCTCAGCCGCAAAGTGGTAGGCCACACAAACTCACAGAACGGGGCCGCCGAGTGCTGAAGCGCATAAAAATCATCGGTCCTTGGTTGCAACACTCACTATCGAGTTCCAAACTGCCTCTGGAAGCAACGTCAGCACAAGAACTGTTCGTCAGGAGCTTCATGAAATGGGTTTCCATGGCCGAGCAGCTGCACACAAGACTAAAATCACCATGGGCAATGCCAAGTGTCGGCTGGAGTGGTGTAAAGCTCGCCGCTATTGGATTCCGGAGCAGTGGAAACACGTTCTCTGGAGTGATGAATCACGCTTCACCATCTGGCAGTCCGACGGACGTATCTGGGTTTGGTGGATGCCAGGAGAACGCTACCTGCCCGAATGCATAGTGCCAACTGTAGAGTTTGGTGGAGGAGGAATAATGGTCTAGGGCTGTTTTTGATGGTTCGGGCTAGGCCCCTTAGTTCCAGTGAAGGGAAATCTTAACACTACAGCATACAATTACATTCTGGATGATTCTGTGCTTCCAACTTTGTGGCAACAGTTTGGGGAAAGCCCTTTCCTGTTTCAGCATGACAATGCCCCCGTGCATAAAGTGAGGTCCATGCAGAAATGGTTTGTCGAGATCGGTGTGGAAGAACTTGACTAGCCTGCACAGAGCCCTGACCTCAACCCCACTGAACACCTTTGGGATGAATTGGAATGGCGACTGCGAGCCAGGCCTAATCGCCCAACATCAGTGCTCGACCTCACTAATGCTCTTGTGGCTGAATCGAAGCAAGTCCCCGCAGCAATGTTACTTTTGATCATGTAGTGTAGTTTCTGTCAGCAGCTGCTCCCATAGACTTCCAGTCATGCACTAACACTAGTACAATGGCTCCAGAAACTTCCTTCAACTTCCTTCAAATTGCACGCAGAGACATAAACATGGTCTCCATGAGTTCATCTGACTCTTGCCAAAATGTGAAACTATCCTTTTAAGTCACCGAACGAGACTGCATGCTGGGTGGTAAATTCAATTTAACACGCTCATTTGTGGCAATTAATGAAATTAATTGACTGTTCCAAAGTAAAGTAGTGTGTACACTGTGCACTAACCGAAGACGAAAATGAGGCACTTAAAATAAAACAGGCTAATTATTTTAGATGAGTTACATCTAACTTTGGAGCCAGACGTGACCCAGAGAGCTAGACTTCCTGTTCCCCTGACCCACAGTGCAGTAGTCCAGCCACACACTACACACCCAGAGCACAGCTATTGTTGGCCAAACATCTATAATTCACACACCCCCGTTTTTGAATATGAATCTTTCAATTTAGTGGGTTTTGTTGGTGGGGGATGAATAATTTGAGTGCTGTACACTACAGAGCTAGAGGGGTCTGAGGGGGTCTGTTCATTCTCTAACCTCCTGTTGAGTCGTACCCCGCCCTGCTTCCTGTCTCTTATGGCTTGGACAGGGAGGTCAGAGGTAAAAGGTTAGACCTACAGCTACAGCGGTTGATGGGATTATGAGTTCTCCTCCTGTCCTGACAGACTACAGCTCTGATCTATGACCTCAGAACAAGGCTTTAACAGCTCATTAGCAAACACCCCCCTAACCATACCCACCCCCCTCACATCACTCTCCATCCCCAACAACTCCCTCATTTCCCCCACTCAATAACATTTCATCAAGGGTCCGTTTAGCTCAGTCCATAGGTGTGTGTGTGTCTGTTTGTGTGTGTGTGTGTGTGTGTGTCTCCTGTAGCTCAGTTGGTAGAGCATGGTGCTTGCAACGCCAGGGTTGTGGGTTTGATTCCCACGGGGGGCCAGTATGAAAATGTATGCACTCACTAACTGTAAGTTGCTCTGGATAAGAGTGTCTGCTAAATGACTAAAATATAAATGTGTGTTGCGTCTCATTTATTCCCACTTGCACACTGAGGTTAACGCAAAGGTCTGATCAATAGAGTCCTTCACAAATTCACCCTCGCACGCGCACACAAACACACATACACACACCAATAACATCCAATACATACTGTTGAGGTTAGCAGAGATCAACTAGAATGTGTTGGAGATGACAGGAGCATGTAGAACCAGGGGTTCCCAGATCATGACACCCCCCCAACCACACACACCTGTCAGCTGTGAGATTAATGGCCGTGTCTGCACCCAAACAACAGAAGAAAAACCTCAGGAACAATAATTAATCCTCTAACCTCCAGATTAATGAACATATCAAACCCTGTTACAGCAACACCACTGGTATACCACACATCCCTGCAGCCCCTTGGAGGTCGCCCCCCCCCCCCCAACATTTTCTCTCAGCCTCATGTCAAATGTGTAGAATAGCATGAGATTACCTATAAAACAGCCAAAAATTTTTTTGCCCCATGGCAAAATGTATAGAATTGTAGGAAGTTAGCTGTTTTCCCCCTTGCTCAGACCTTGTGGGGGCCCCCCGCAAAACTGCGGTACCCCACAGAGCAACCCACACTCATATCAAACCCTGTTACAGCAACACCTACTCTCATCAAAGAAACTCTTCTTTAACCCTGATACAGCACACACACTTCCAACAATCAAACTCTGCTGAAGGACTGCACTGCTTTCAGACCCTAGTCTTTGAGCTGACGAGGGAGGAGGGCTTATGCACCCTATCACCACAGATCGAGATGAATAGCTCTATGTTTTCATGCATAGGTTCACACACACGCATGTGCGTAAGCAAGCACAAACCCCACACAAACAGACCCAACAGATAACCTCTTTATATGCAGACAGAACGGTTGGGATAAAGCATGCACTGATATTGGACTAGATTTCAATTATGATGTGAGAAGATGCAGGGAGCTCAGAAGAACATGGTAAACAGCATGGTAAACAACATGGTAAACATCTCCTCTGTAAACAGTAAACAGCAGCCAAATATCAGAACTGAAGAACAGAATCCTGTTAGTCTCATCCATTTCTCTTCCTGCCTCTCTCTCCATCCCTCTCCTCTGTCTCTACTCTCTTTCTCTGCCTATCTGTCTCTCTCTCGCTCCCTCTCTCCCTCATCTTTCTCTCAGCGTGGGTTCTTGTTTCTTTTGAGGCTGCAGTGACAGCCTCAGCCTGTTACCTCTGCTACGCTTCTCTGGAAGGACTTCAATGCTGCCACTTAGTGTATGTGTGAGAGATGGAGAGAGAGAGAGAGAGAGAGAGAGAGAGAGAGAGAGAGAGAGAAAGAGAGAGAGAGAGAGAGAGAGAGAGAGAGAGAGAGAGAGAGAGAGAGAGAGAGAGAGAGAGAGAGAGAGAGAGAGAGAGAGAGAGAGTGGCAATGTAAACATATGTTTCCCATGCCAATAAAGTCCCTTTGAATTGAATTAAAATGGAATGGAGTGAGAGAGAGAGAGTAAGAGAGAGAGCGAGAGTATCTTCTCTTTCATTATTCCAGAAATAACGAGTCAGTGTCTCTACAATCCTACACACACAGTTAGGACAGATGGGATGGCCACCCCATCCACCTGCAAATAAAACCTCACAGCTGTGTGTGTGTGTGTGTGTGTGTCTATGTGTGTCTATGTGTGTGTGTGTGTCTTTGTGTGCGTATGTGTGTGTGTCTGTGTGTATGTGTGCGCGCGCGCATGCGTGTGTGTGTGCTGTCTGGTCAATTCCACAGCAGCTTTCCCATTCTCCCTGGGTGATCCACACTCCGTTAACCACAGAGCTGTGAATCTGGGAGCGTGGCTTTAATTAACATTGCACTAGGCCACTGGGTGTGCAATGACAGTGACTTTGATGACTGTGGTGTTGTTATGACGGCTGGGTGCGAAGGGACAGAGAGACTGGTCTGAACATTTCAAAGCCTGCTCAGTGTCACTGTGACCTCTGGGACCTGTCCCCACCCCTGCAGCACCATGTCACGTTTCCCAGGACCCTGTCATCTCTGCTGTCACCGGGAGAAACCATCATATGTCAGAGGGGTGGGTAGTCAGCAGAACATTCAATCTATGAAGAGTCACACAAACTTTTCTAACCGACTGACTTTGCCTGACTTTTCACTGTGGCAGAACTGTGTGTGTGTGTGTGTGTGTGTGTGTGTTTGATAGGGCATGTGAGTGTGTGTGGCATTTTACACAGTGCATGTAAAACTTCAGAAGAGCATCTGTCTAAATATTAAACAAAGAATCATTATCAACTCCAGTGAGGTGTGTTTGCTGTGTGTGCCTGTGTGTGTTAGTCAGGGTGAGTGATGAGTCCTTATTGGTAGATTAAGTGTGGGGGCGTGACTAGGTTCCAGACTGGAGATCATTGATTCAGGTCTGGAGCAATCGCTCCTATTAATCATCAACATGTCCTTCAGCAGGAGAGGAGAGGAAAGGAGAGGAGACGGGAGAGGAGAAGGGAGAGGAGAAGGGAGAGGGGAGAGGAAAGGAGAGGAGACGGGAGAGGAGAAGGGAGAGGAGATGATGGGAGAGGAAAGGAGAGGAGACGGGAGAGGGGAGCTGGTGTGGATAAGAGGAGAGGAAGAGAGGAAAGGAGGAGGATGAAAAGAGTATACATGGGGAGTGTTTATCCCAGGGGGTTGTGTGTGGGTGACTGGCGAGGAGGAGGAGAGAAGGCAGGAGAAGAAGAGAGGTGAGAGGAAGAGAGGTGAGAGGAAGAGAGGTGAGGGAGAGGCCAGAGGCTGTTGTGTGGGTGACTGAGGACACTGGAGATTGAGGAATCTGAACAGCTGGACCCTAGCCTCTAGACCTGGAGGCCTTCTGAGACCACCACCATGCTTCACCAACTAACTACTGAATGAGTACAACCTAGAAACCTCCCTCACTAACCCACTCAAGGAGATCACAACAGGGGTTGATTGGAGGCGGTATAACTATTCACACACACATGAACACACACACACACAGCACTCTGGGTTTGTTGGGTTACACATAGAGGAGAACAGAGACTTCAGAGATCAAAGTATGATCAAAGCTTGAATCCTTTTAAATAACTGTCACCTTCAATTCTCTGCTCTCTACTCTACTGAACCTGATGCAAGAGATGAGCTGAGGATAACTGACTAATGTAAACTGACTTGACCTGCTATGGGCCTTTTACTGTATATGATTCTTTCTGTAACCTCTATACTACCCACACACAGTGTTGTCCTAGGGCCATGCGGTGACTAGGGTTTAATAAGAGGAAAATTTGGCAGGTGCTCTTAGTCACTGTTAGTGCACAAGGTCTTAAAGGGGACCAGTTTCTGGCGGCGTTCTAGTCACTGTTACGACACAAAGTCTTGTAAATGAACTACATTCCTAGAGGTCAGAATAATCAAAGTTTACATAAATTAGACACTGTTTAGAGAGGGGTAGGGGTTAGTTTCTGAAACAGTCCACATATGCTTCCAAAAAACTGGTTATTCAGAAACAAAAAGCGCTGGAATAATACGTTCTCAACCAACATAATACATATTATAGAGCATCACAATGACCATGTAGAAAATGTAATTTTCTCCTCTACACATACAGATATCATCATAATCTTACTAAAAATAGTATTTGCTTATGAAGTGTGGAGATGGAGAAGAGGCTCCCTCTATAACAGACACCAACAGTCCTGTACACTTAGGACACGTGTCAAACTCATTCCATGGAGGGCCAAGTGTCTGCGGGTTTTCGCTCCTCCCTTGTACTTGATTGATCAATAATAACCATGGGGCGGCGCACAATTGGCTCAGCGTCGTCCAAGGTAGGGGAGGGAATGACCGGCAGGGATGTAGCTCAATTGGTAGAGCATGGCGTTTGCAATGCCAGGGTTGTGGGTTCGATTCCCATGGGGGGCCAGTATAAAAAAAATTATGTATGTACTCACTAACTGTAAGTCGCTTTGGATAAGAGCGTCTGCTAAATGACTAAAATGTAAATGTAAAATGTAAGGTCACTGATTAGTTAGGAACTCCCATCACCTGGGTGTCTAGGTCTAAACTGAACACAAATTGAAAGGAAATAATGAAAACCAGCATACACTTGGCCCTCCATGGAATGAGTTTGACACCTATGCTTTAGGACCTGTATCATTACACTCTGTAGACAGACAGTTTGAGTCATAACCTGTAGGCTGGGGTACACACACAGAGGTGCAGTAAAGGAATCTGTTTCTGATGATTCTGACAAAAATGTCTGTGAGCAGAGCGAGAGGGGCAGTGGTGGTCAGGTGTTTTCACCTAGTGGGGGTGTGTGTGTCAATCTGGGTCAAGCAGGGTGGTATGTGTGCCAGTATGTGTTTATGAGTGCGTGCATGTGTGAATGTGTGTGTGTTGTCGTGCTACACTGCTATCTCATCCCCCAGGCAGTCTGGTGTTCCCTGTCTGTTAAGCACGTTTAGTAGACGGAGGGTCTCCTCGTCAGACCCCCAGCTGTATATGATATCCCTCTCCTCCATCTCCTCCCTCTCTTCTCTCTCCTCCCTCTCTTCTCTCTCATCTCTCTCTTCTCTCTCATCACTATCATCACTATCGTCAGTGTTGGACTCGTACTCAGATGCAATGCCAGACTCCCGGAACCTCAGCAGCTCCAGACTGCCAAGCACCTCGTCGCGGGTTGATGACATCACCACTCCTGACCCCTCCTGACCTTTCACCCCATTTTGACCCCACCGCTGTGGAGGAGTAGGGGGGCGAGGTTCAGGTGTTGGGGGTCCGGGCAGGAAGCGGAAACATTCAAGCTTGAGGAGACACTGATCCCTACCTAGGGGGCTGCCTAGGGGCAGGGAGGAGGAGGAGAGGGGGGCGGCCATCCTGTCCTGGCCCATGCCCATGTTGATGCCCAGCGCTGGCAGGGTTAGGTTGACATGGTCCTGGGGTCGCGGGGTCGTAGGGTCACACAAAACTGGGGGGACGGTGGAACGGAAAGTGATCTCCAACAGACTATCCTGGGAACCCACTGAAGGAGTGGAGGAGGGGGAGAGGAGAAAAGGGGGAGAGAGAAAAGAAGGTGGAAAAGAAAATAAGATAAGCATAATTCCACACATTGAGCGTACATTCATCTGTTTTACATGACTAATGCTAACATGAGCCTGGTTGTATGAGCAGATTGGGCAACCTGGTCTCAGAGCATTTAGTATTATTCTGTACGTAAATGCGGGACACTCCATTTAGTATGATATGTTACGTTTAGTATGGTATGTATTAATTTGTAGATGTCCATCACCCATTTCCTATGATATGTTACGAATTTGCTAAAGTTATTATATGTTATGAATTAGCTAAGCTAAGGGTAAGGGTTAGGGTTTATGTTAGGGTTAAGTTTAGGAGTTAGGTTAAAGGGTTAAGGTTAGGGTTAGGGGAAGGGTTAGCTAAAAGGGTTAAGGTTAGGGTTAGGGGAAGGGTTAACTAACATGCTAAGTAGTTGCAAAGTAGCAAAAAAGTGGTATGTAGTTGAAAAGTAGCTAATTAGCTAAAATGCTAAAGTTGTCCGTGGTAAGATTCAAACTCGGGACCCTGTGGGTTGCTATACGTTCGTGTTATACGCCCACCCATCTGTGTTATATGTTACGTTTCGTATGGTATGTATTAATTTGTGGATGTCCATCACCCATTTCGTATGATATGTTATGAATTACAATTCGGATTATATGTTATGAATTTGCAAACATACAATATGTTACGAATTTGTCAAATGTATGATATGTTACGAATTCTAGCTAAGTGGCTAGGTGGCTAACAATAGCTAGCTGGCTAATGTTAGCTAGGCTAGGGGTTAGGGTTAGGGGTTAGGGTTTAGGTTAGGGTTAAGTTTAGGAGTTAGGTTAAAGGGTTAAGGTTAGGGTTAGCTAAAAGGGTTAAGGTTAGGGTTAGGGGAAGGGTTAGCTAACATGCAAAGTAGCAAAAAGTAGTAAGTAATTGAAAAGTTGCTAATTAGCTAAAATGCTAAAGTTGTCCGTGATGAAATTCGAACTTGCAACCTGTGGGTTGCTAGACGTTCGTGTTATATGCCTACCCAAGTTATGTTTCGTATGGTATGTATCAATTTGCCCACCCATCCATCCACCCTACTTTTTCTTATGTAACCATACCAAACGTAATATACAGTATCATACTAATTTGAGATTCCCAGATTTATGTTACCTATGTTACGTCTAGTCTGCGAGACCAGGCTGGACTGGGGCATGGTAGGGATTGAGAAACGGTGTCAAACACTACATTAGGAGGAGGTGAGGTGTGACATGTGAGATCAGGAGGAGGGGAGAGGGCTGAGTTGGCTGAGGTGTAGAGCAGGTTGGTCCGCTGAGGTGTAACATGTTGTATAATGATGCAGCTGAGAAAGGTGTGAAGTAAAGTAACAGGTTACATGATAACATGCTGGTTGGTCTGTTGGAGTCTATGCTTGGCCAGAGAGCTTAAAGAGGTCATGTAAAAACTGCCGCACTGGCATTTTCCAGCCCTAACACCAGGTTCGGCAATTCACCTGTCTTATATCAGCTCGCTTGCGCTCAGATGGGCGGGTGAAAATATTTGAGGTGTGTCCTTAAAAACATGATCCAAAGTGCTAATTTCAGGAGGCGCTGATGGGGATATTTAAGACAAGATTAGCCTAATGTGCTTGTGGTGCCTGAATACTTTGTATTAAAAAAATTTAATAAATGTTTTTCCCCCAGTTAGTTTTATTTGATTAAAAACCAAGCATAGCCTCCCCTTCTCTCAATGAATGCATTTTTTTGTCTGCCCAATGCAATCGCAAATTAGTCAAGACTGTCGATAAAGGGTTTGGCTCCAGACACCGCTTGGAAATATACTGAACAAAAATATAAACGCAGCATGTAAAGTGTTGGTCCCATGTTTCATGAGCTAAAAAATAAAAGGTCCCAGAAATATGTCTGTCACGGTTTCAGCCGAGGCTGCTTCTCCTCCTTGCTCGGGCAGACTTCGGCGGTCGTCGTCCCCGGAGTACTAGCTACCACCGCTGTATGTTTTCGATGTTCATTTGGTTTTGTCTTAATGTTGTACACCTGTTGTCGTTTAGCGTTGATTATGTGTCCTTTAAGTTCTCGTTTTGTTTGTCAGGGGTTGTGTGTGATTGCGCTACCTGTCTACTGAGACTGTGTTTGGTTTTTCTCCGTTGTTGTAGGAGAGTTTTCCGCACGTGTGTGCGCGTTATTATTTTCTTTGCTAGTTTACGCCTGTGTGCGTAATCGCTCGTCTCCGGGCTCTTTTTGGCTCGTGTTGTGTTTGGAGTACTAAAGTCTGTTGGACGAAGCTTCTGTGTCCTGCGCCTGATTCCTGCACCACATCCACATACAGCACTCTTGACAGAATCACACACCATTATGGAATCAGCAGGAGCAGCAGCAGCACCCGAGTCACTGGAGGAGCGCGTCCGCGAACAGAACGACCAGATCCTTCGTATCGGGACCGCCCTTCAGGACGTAATAAACACTCTGCACCGATGGGAGAACAGAGGGGCATCCACATCTCCACCTACCTTGCCATCACCATCGGCCAGTCCGCCCATCCAAGCTCCGGAACCCAGTGGGATTCGGCTCTCGCTCCCGAGGGCGTATGATGGCACCGCTGCCGGGTGTCAGGGGTTCCTCCTGCAGGTGGAACTATACCTGGCCACCGTACACCCGGCGCCCTCGGGACACAAGAGCGTTTCCGCCCTCATCTCCTGTCTCACCGGCAAGGCGTTGGAGTGGGCCAACGCCGAATGGAGGAGGATAGACGCCGCCACGATCACATACGCGGAGTTCTCCCGCCGCTTCAAGGCTGTGTTCGACCATCCACCTGAGGGGAAAGTGGCGGGGGAGCGTCTATTCTACCTCCGGCAGGGGAAGAGGAGCGCCCAGGAGTTCGCTTTGGAATTCCGGACTCTAGCGGCGGATGCAGGGTGGAATGAGCGGGCTCTCATCGATCACTACCGTTGTAGTCTACAGGAGGACGTCCGTCGTGAGCTGGCCTGCAGGGATACCAGCCTCACGTTCGACCAGTTGGTGGACATGTCCATCCTGCTGGACACCCTGCTGGCCACCCGCGGACGTTCCGATTGGGGTTCGTCCATTCCACCCTCCAGCACCTCCGAGCCGAGCCCTATGGAGCTCGGGGGTGCTGGCGCTAGAGAGAGGAGAGGAAGGAGCACTAGGGGGGCCGTCCCCTGCACCAACTGTGGCCGTGGAGGACACACCGCGGCCAGGTGCTGGGGAGGGTCTCCTAGGGGAGAATACGGCAGGCGCCGCACTGGGGAGTCCTTCCAGGTGAGTAGGCGTCCCACTTACCCAGAGCTCTCTGTTGTGCACTTCTGTATACCTGTGCGATTTCCACAGGTTGCACCTCATTCCCAGCATAAGGCGCTAGTAGATTCAGGCGCAGCTGGGAATTTTGTTGATCGTACGTTTTGTTTAGAACTAGGGATTCCCCTTCTTCCTGTTGACGTCCCATTTCCCGTTCATGCCCTAGATAGCCGTCCGTTGGGATCGGGGTTGATCAGGGAGGTCACAGCGCCACTTAGGATGTGTACGCAGGAGGGTCATGAGGAGACTATCCAGCTATATCTGATCGACTCTCCTGCGTATCCGGTGGTGCTGGGAATTCCCTGGTTGAGTACCCATAATCCTTCTATTTCGTGGCAAGAGAGGGCTCTTAAGGAGTGGTCTGCCCAGTGTGAGGGGCGATGTTTGGGTGTTTCCGTGGGGGCGACCTCGGTGGAGAGTCCAAACCAGGTGTCCGCAATGCGCATTCCCACTGAGTATGAGGATTTGGCACTTGTGTTCAGTAAATCGAGGGCGACGCGGTTGCCTCCTCATAGACAGGGGGATTGTGCGATAGACCTCCAGGCAGGAGCAGCGCTTCCGCGGAGCCATGTGTATCCTCTGTCCCAAGAGGAGAAGAGAGCTATGGAAACTTACATAGCCGAATCTCTGAGACAAGGATACATACGGTCCTCCACTTCTCCTGCGTCCTCGAGCTTCTTTTTTGTGAAGAAAAAGGATGGAGGGTTGCGCCCGTGCATTGATTACCGTAGTCTCAATCAGATCACTGTGAAATACAGTTATCCACTCCCTCTGATTGCGACTATGACAGAGTCTTTGCACAGAGCCCGTTTCTTCACGAAACTGGATCTCAGGAGCGCATATAACTTGGTGCGCATTAGGGAGGGCGATAAATGGAAGACGGCATTTAGTACCACCTCGGGTCATTACGAGTATCTCGTCATGCCATACGGGTTGATGAATGCTCCTTCAGTCTTCCAATCCTTCGTGGATGAGATCTTCCGGGACATGCAGGGGCAGGGTGTGGTCGTGTACATAGATGACATCCTGGTGTACTCGCCTACCCGAGACGAGCATGTAGCCCTGGTGCGCCGAGTGTTGGGTAGGCTGTTGGAGCACGACCTGTATGTCAAGGCAGAGAAATGTCTGTTTTTTCAGGAGTCGGTCTCCTTTCTGGGTTATCAGTTGTCCGCGTCAGGGGTGAAGATGGAGGTTGACGGGTGTCAGCCGTGCGTAATTGGCAAACCCCAACCACCGTTAAAGAGGTGCAGCAGTTGTTGGGTTTTGCGAATTACTACCGTAGGTTTATCCGGGGTTTTGGACAGGTGGCAGCTCCCATAACGTCTCTTCTGAAGGGGGGTGCGGTGCGCTTGCAGTGGTCAGCGGAGGCGGACAGGGCTTTTGGGAGACTGAAGGCCCTGTTTACTTCGGCTCCAGTGCTTGCGCATCCGGATCCCGCTTTACCATTTCAGGTAGAGGTGGACGCGTCTGAGGCCGGTATAGGGGCCGTGCTATCTCAACGGTCCGGCACGCCACCTAAACTCCGCCCCTGTGCCTTTTACTCCAAAAGGCTCAGCCCGGCGGAGCGTTATTATGACGTAGGTGACAGGGAGCTGTTAGCCGTGGTTCAAGCCCTAAAGGTGTGGAGGCATTGGCTTGAGGGGGCTCAACACCTTTTCCTCATTTTGACTGACCACCGTAACCTGGAGTACATTCGGGCAGCTAGGAGACTGAACCCTCGCCAGGCGCGATGGAACATGTTTCTAACCCGGTTTGTATTTAAGATCACGTACATCCCTGGGTCCCAGAACGGTAAGGCAGACGCCCTGTCCCGGCGGTATGACACAGAGGAGAGGTCCGTAGAGCCCACTTCCATACTGCCGGAGTCTTGTCTAGTGGCACCGGTAGTGTGGGAGGTCGATGCTGAAATCGAGCGGGCGTTGCGTACCGACCCTAGCCCTCCACAGTGTCCGGTGGGTCGGACGTACGTTCTGCTCGAGGTTCGGGATCGACTCATTTATTGGGCTCACACGTCACCCTCCTCTGGACATCCAGGTATTGGCCGGACAGTGCACTGCCTTAGCGCGAAGTACTGGTGGCCAACGTTAGCCAGGGATGTGAGGGTTTATGTCTCCTCCTGTTCGGTGTGCGCCCAGTGTAAGGCGCCCAGACATCTGCCCAGGGGTAAGTTACAACCCCTGCCCGTTCCACAACAACCCTGGTCGCACCTCTCGGTAGATTTTGTTACAGACCTTCCCCCCTCTCAGGGGAATACCACCATACTGGTCGTTGTGGATCGGTTCTCTAAAGCCTGTCGTCTTCTCCCAATGCCAGGTCTTCCTACTGCCTTGCAGACCGCTGAGGCACTCTTCACCCACGTCTTCCGGCATTACGGGGTACCCGAGGATATAGTGTCTGATCGAGGTCCCCAGTTCACCTCCCGAGTCTGGAGAGCGTTCATGGAGCGCTTGGGGGTCTCGGTGAGCCTTACCTCGGGGTACCACCCGGAGAGTAATGGGCAGGTAGAACGAGTGAACCAGGATGTGGGTAGGTTTCTGAGGTCGTATTGCCAGGGCCGGCCGGAGGAGTGGGCGAGGTATATTCCCTGGGCAGAGATGGCCCAGAACTCTCTCCGCCACTCCTCCACCAACCTAACCCCTTTCCAATGTGTGTTGGGTTACCAGCCGGTTCTGGCACCGTGGCATCAGAGCCAGATCGAGGCCCCTGCGGTGGATGAGTGGGTAAGGCGCTCGGAGGAGACCTGGAACGCTGCACACGTCCATCTGCAGCGGGCCATCCGTCGACAGAAGGCGAGCGCCGATCTCCACCGCAGTGAGGGGCCGGTGTACGCACCTGGAGATCGAGTCTGGCTCTCGACCAGAAACCTACCCCTCCGCCTGCCCTGCCGGAAGCTGGGTCGGCGGTTTGTGGGGCCTTTTAAAGTCCTGAGGAGATTGAACGAGGTGTGTTACAGGTTGCCACTGCCTATTGAGTATAAGAATATTAACCCCTCGTTCCATGTGTCTCTTCTCAGGCCGGTGGTAGCTGGTCCACTCCAGGAAGATGAGATTGCAGAGACTCCTCCCCCCCACTGGACATCGAGGGGGCTCCGGCGTACACAATTCGGTCCATCTTGGATTCGAGACACCGGATGGGGGGTCTCCAATATCTTGTGGAGTGGGAGGGGTACGGCCCGGAGGAGCGGTGCTGGGTGCCGAGGAGGGACATCCTAGACCCGTCTCTCCTGACACAGTTCCACCGTAGTCACCCTGCGCGCCCTGCTCCGCGTCCTCCTGGTCGTCCCCGAGGCCGGGGTCGGCGCACGGCTGGAGCCGCGCGTCAAGGGGGGGGGGGGTACTGTCACGGTTTCGGCCGAGGCTGCTTCTCCTCCTTGCTCGGGCAGACTTCGGCGGTCGTCGTCCCCGGAGTACTAGCTACCACCGTTGTATGTTTTCGATGTTCGTTTGGTTTTGTCTTAATGTTGTACACCTGTTGTCGTTTAGCGTTGATTATGTGTCCTTTAAGTTCTCGTTTTGTTTGTCAGGGGTTGTGTGTGATTGCGCTACCTGTCTACTGAGACTGTGTTTGGTTTTTCTCCGTTGTTGTAGAAGAGTTTTCCGCACGTGTGTGCGCGTTAGTATTTTCTTTGCTAGTTTACGCCTGTGTGCGTAATCGCTCGTCTCCGGGCTCTTTTTGGCTCGTGTTGTGTTTGGAGTACTAAAGTCTGTTGGACGAAGCTTCTGTGTCCTGCGCCTGATTCCTGCACCACATCCACATACAGCACTCTTGACAATGTCATATAGAAAAAAGTTTATTTCTGTCAAATTTTGGGCACACATTTGTTTACATCCCTGTTAGTGAGCATTTCTCCTTTGCCAAGATAACCCATTCACCTGACAGGTGTGGCATATCAAGAAGCTGATTAAACAGCATGATCATTACACACATGCACCTTGTGCTGGGGACAATAAAAGGTCACTCTAAAATGTGCAGTTTGTCACACAACACAATGCCACAGATGTCTCAAGTTTTGAGGAAGTGCGCAATTGGCATGTTGACTGCAGGAATGTCCACCAGAGCTATTGCCAGATAATATAATGTTAATTTCTCTACCATAAGCCGTCTCCAACGTCGTTTTAGAGAATTTGGCAGTACGTCCAACTGGCCTTACAACCGCAGACCACTTGTAACCACGTCAGCGCAGGACCTCCACATCCGACTTCTTCACCTGCGGGATCATCTGAGACCAGCCACCCAGACAGCTGATGAAACTGAGGAGTATTTCTGTCTGTAATAAAGCCCTTTTGTGGGGAAAAACTGATTCTGATTGGCTGGGCTTGACTTCCCAGTGGATGGGCCTGGCTCCCAAGTGGGTGGTCCTATGCCCTCCCAGGCCCCCCCATGGCTGCGTCCCTGCCGTCATGTGAAATCCATAGATTAGGGCCTAATGAATTCAATTGACTGATTTCCTCATATAAACTGTAACTCAGTAAAATTGTTGAAATTGTTGCATGTTGTGTTCATATTTTTGTTCAGTATACATCTTAATCACCAAAGCTTTATTAAAATATCAGGTTTGAGAGGAGTACAACAGTGAGCTGACATTCCCTTTTTCTCTATGCATTGTAGGCAGGCCCACATTATTTTAGCCATGCATGTCCATGCTCAGCCATAATGAAATTTACAGTAGGCCTAGCCCCTATATCAGTGTGAATGCTATTGAAGCCATACAATTACTTAGAACAATGTGGACTGCAAATGGGTTCAAGTTAACGTATTTAGCAAAGATAGGTCTACATGTTGTTATTTTGTTTCTGTAAGCCATTTAACAAACTATAACGCACTAACATTGGAGTTGGAGTTGATTCCAAGGCAATACATAAATGACCGTAAACACACAACTTGAAGCAACCACTTATTTCGCCATGGAGCATGTTCTGATTGGCCAGTGAGGGGCCAAGTCTCGACACACCCACAACTTGTTTATTCATCAAAACCCAGCAAGTGAGCCGATCATTGTTATAGTGAAAATAGCTAAAATATTTCTGACACACCCCTGAACTACTGCCTGCGCTTAGATTAACCATTGCGTTAGGTTTGTTAATATAGAGCCCCAAGACTGTGTGTCCATGCTTGTGTGTGTGTGTGTTCGCAAGTCCACCTGTGCATGTGTGTGCATGCGTATGTTTGTGTGTTTGTAGTCATGCATCCGTGAGTGTACTCACTGGAGCAGGGTCCTGACATTTTGACCTCCAGCTCCTGGATCTGTTTGACCAGTAGAGAGATGTGCTGCAGCAGGTCCTTGTTCTGGAGCAGCAGCTGGTGCACTCTGGCCTGGGCCTCCAGTCTGGCTGTAGCCTCCGCACTCAGCTGGTCCTTCAACAGGTGCACCTGGGGGGAGAGAACACACAGACTTACTGTACGTCTGAGATAAGTACACACTTGGGAGAGAGAGAACACACACACATGCACGAATGCACGTGCACACGATACACTATGTACATGCAGGGGCTGAGTCACTGGCTTGCTGGTGCTCTTTCATGCCGTCCCTGGGAGGGGTGCGTCACTTGAGTGGGTTGAGTTACTGACGTGATCTTCCTGTCTGGGTTGGCGCCCCCCCCCCCCCCTTGGTTTGTGCTGTGGTGGAGACCTCTGTGGGCTATACTCGGCCTTGTCTCAGGATTGTAAGTTGGTGGTTGAGGATATCCCTCTAGTGGTGCGGGGGCTGTGCTTTGGCAGAGTGGGTGGGGTTATATCCTTCCTGTTTGGCCCTGTCCGGGGGTTTCTTCGGATGGGGCCACAGTGTCTCCGGACCGCTCCTGTCTCAGCCTCCAGTACTTATGCTGCAGTAGTTTATGTGTCGGGGGGCTGGGGTTAGTTGGTTATACCTGGAGTACTTCTCCTGTCTTATCCAGTGTCCTGTGTGAATTTAAGTATGCTCTCTCTAATTCTCTCGTTCTCTCTTTCTCTCTGAGAACCTGAGCCCTAGGACCATACGTCAGGACTACCGGGCATGATGACACCTTGCTGTCCCCAGTCCGCCTGGCCTTGCTGCTATTCCAGTTTCAACTGTTCTGCCTGCGGTTACGAAACCCCTACCTGTCCCAGACCTGCTGTTTTCAACTCTTAATGATCGGCTATGAAAAGCCAACTGAGAGACCTGAGCCCTAGGACCATACGTCGGGACTACCGGCCGTGGTGACTCCTTGCTGTCCCCAGTCCGCCTGGCCTTGCTGCTATTCCAGTTTCAACTGTTCTGCCTGCGGTTATGGAACCCCTACCTGTCCCAGACCTGCTGTTTTAAACTCTTAATGATCGGCTATGAAAAGCCAACTGAGATTTATTCCTGATTATTATTTGACCATGCTTGTCACTTATGAACATTTTTGAACATCTTGGCATGGTTCTGTTATAATCTTCACCCGGCACAGCCAGAAGAGGACTGGCCACCCCTCATAGCCTGGTTCCTCTCTAGGTTTCTTCCTAGGTTTTCGCCTTTCTAGGGAGTTTTTCCTAGCCACCGTGCTTCTACACCTGCATTACTAGCTGTTTGGGGTTTTAGGCTGGGTTTCTGTACAGCACTTCGAGATATTAGCTGATGTAAGAAGGGCTATATAAAATAAAATTGATTGATTGATTGATGTACATACACCTGAGAGAGAGAGTACCAACACTCCTGAGATATGCATGTACACAAACAAACACTCAATACCGACTTCAGACTATTGAGAGTGTCAGTGTGTCTGTGTGTGTCTCACCAAAGCCCATAACATGAAGAGCAAGATGAGGACTGCCAGACTCCAAGCTCAAGCTCAAGCTCATGTAAACGTAATGCCATGTATGGTCTGTAGCAGGATTAAACCAAGAGAAGAAGAAAGACAAGACAAGCAATGAAGATATTGCAAAGAAAAAGGCCCATCGATTTGTGAATGGTTGACAATGAGTGCTACTGTGGTATTTCTAACTTGACATTGAGCGAGCGCTTCTACTTCAAACTTTGTGATGGTTTATATAGGAACACTTCTGCTGTGGTTTTCTTACTTCAAGGAGCATTATGAATACAAAGGGATATTTCTGGCTTGGTATACAGCCCATGACTCTAAAGCACTGCATTAATTTCTCACATCAAGGAGAATGGAGCATGAATAGAGTCATGAGGCTGTAGCTAGAGAGTCTGAAGCTCTCTGATTCTGTCTTTCAATTTAACAAGATGATATTATTCTGTTTCATCATACATGTACCATAGCTAAAAAAATTCTGTAACCAAGGTAATGCTACTGTGACGATTAGAATTCATCCAAACAAAAAACTGTGGATAGATGGCAGCATTCATGCAAAACCAACGCATTTAACCACGGCAAGGTGACTGGGAACATGGACATGTACAAACAGACCAGCTACGACCTCCGTAAGGCAATCAAAGAGGCAAAACAACAATAAAGTGTAGTCGCAATTCAATGGCTCAGACACGAGACGCATGTGGCAGGGACTCCAGACAATCACAGGTTATAAAGGGAAAGCCAGCCACGTCGCGGACACTGACGCCTCGCTCCCAGACAACCTTAACACCTTCTTCGCCCGCTTTGAGGAAAACAACACTGAGCCGGCAACATAGGCCCCCGTCGCTCACTTGGTCTGTGTGTTCCTGATCTCCCTGGCAGACGTGAGTAAGACATTCAAGCGTGTTAAGGATCATATCACCACCACTTTACCAGACACCCTAGACCCACTACAATTTGCATACCGTCCCAACAGATCCACAGACGACGGAATTGCAATTGCACTGCACACTGCGCTATCTCACCTGGACAAGACAAATACATACAGTGGGGAGAACAAGTATTTGATACACTGCCAATTTTGCCAATTTTCCTATTTACAAAGCATGTAGAGGTCTGTAATTTTTATCATAGGTACACTTCAACTGTGAGAGACGGAATCTAAAACAAAAATCCAGAAAATCACATTGTATGATTTTTAAGTAATTAATTTGCTTTTTATTGCATGACATGAGTATTTGATACATCAGAAAAGCAGAACTTAATATTTGGTACAGAAACCTTTGTTTGCAATTACAGAAATCATACGTTTCCTGTAGGTCTTGACCAGGTTTGCACACACTGCAGCAGGGATTTTGGCCCACTCCTCCATACAGACCTTCTCCAGATCCTTCAGGTTTCGGGGCTGTCGCTGGGCAATACGGACTTTCAGCTCCCTCCAAAGATTTTCTATTGGGTTCAGGTCTGGAGACTGGCTAGGCCACTCCAGGACCTTGAGATGCTTCTTACGGAGCCACTCCTTAGTTGCCCTGGCTGTGTATTTCAGGTCGTTGTCATGCTGGAAGACCCAGCCACGTCCCATCTTCAATGCTCTTACTGAGGGAAGGAGGTTGTTGGCCAAGATCTCGCGATACATGGCCCCATCCATCCTCCCCTCAATACGGTGCAGTCGTCCTGTCCCCTTTGCAGAAAAGCATCCCCAAAGAATGATGTTACCTCCATGCTTCACGGTTGGGATGGTGTTCTTGGGGTTGTACTCATCCTTCTTCTTCCTCCAAACACGGCGAGTGGAGTTTAGACCAAAAAGCTCTATTTTTGTCTCATCAGACCACATGACCTTCTCCCATTCCTCCTCTGGATCATCCAGATGGTCATTGGCAAACTTCAGACAGGCCTGGACATGCGCTGGCTTGAGCAGGGGGACCTTGCGTGCGCTGCAGGATTTTAATCCATGACGGCGTAGTGTGTTACTAATGGTTTTCTTTGAGACTGTGGTCCCAGCTCTCTTCAGGTCCTTGACCAGGTCCTGCCGTGTAGTTCTGGGCTGATCCCTCACCTTCCTCATGATCATTGATGCCCCAAGAGGTGAGATCTTGCATGGAGCCCCAGACCGAGGGTGATTGACCGTCATCTTGAACTTCTTCCATTTTCTAATAATTGCGCCAACAGTTGTTGCCTTCTCACCAAGCTGCTTGCCTATTGTCCTGTAGCCCATCCCAGCCTTGTTTAGGTCTACAATTTTATCCCTGATGTCCTTACACAGCTCTCTGGTCTTGGTCATTGTGGAGAGGTTGGAGTCTGTTTGATTGAGTGTGTGGACAGGTGTCTTTTATACAGGTAACGAGTTCAAACAGGTGCAGTTAATACAGGCAATGAGTGGAGAACAGGAGGGCTTCTTAAAGAATAACTAACAGGTCTGTGAGAGCCGGAATTCTTACTGGTTGGTAGGTGATCAAATACTTATGTCATGCAATAAAATGCAAATTAATTCATTAAAAATCCTACAATGTGATTTTCTGGATTTTTTTCTCTCAATTTGTCTGTCATAGTTGACGTGTACCTATGATGAAAATTACAGGCCTCTCTCATCTTTTTAAGTGGGAGAACTTGCACAATTGGTGGCTGACTAAATACTTTTTTCCCCCACTGTATATACTAGGCGGTGTCAGAGGAAGGGCCAAAAAATTGTCAAAGACTCCAGTCACCCAAGTCATAGACTGTTCTCTCTGCTACCGCACGGCAAGTCTAGGTCCAAAAGGCTCTTTAACAGCTTCTACCCCAAGCCATAAGACTGCTGAACAATTAATCGAAAGGCCACCCGGACTATTTACATTGACAAAATGTACATTTTTTATTTATCTCCAGGCCATCCGACTGTTAAACAGTCATCACTAGCCAGCCTCCGCCCAGTACCCTTCCCTGAACCTTAGACACTGTCACTAGTCGGCTACCAGTCACTTTAATAATGTTTACATACTGTTTTACCTACTTTATATGTACAGTTGAAGTCGGAAGTTTACATACACCTTAGCCAAATATATTTAAACTCAGTTTTTCACAATTCCTGACATTAAATTATAGTAAATATTCCCTGTCTTAGGTCAGTTAGGATCACCTCTTTATTTTAAGAATGTGAAATGTCAGAATAATAGTAGAGAGAATGATTTATTTCAGCTTTTATTTATTTCATCACATTCCCAGTGGGTCAGAAGTTTACATACACTCAATTAGTATTTGGTAGCATTGCCTTTAAATTGTTTAACTTGGGTCAAACGTTTCGGGTAGCCTTCCACAAGCTTCCCACAATAAATTGGGTGAATTCTGGCCCATTCCTCCTGACAGAGCTGGTTTTACTGAGTCAGGTTTGTAGGCCTCCTTGCTCGCACATGCTTTTTCAGTTCTGCCCACACATTTTCTATAGGATTGAGGTCTGGGCTTTGTGATGGCCACTCCAATACCTTGACTTTGTTGTCCTTAAGCCATTTTGCCACAACTTTGGAAGTATGCTTGGGGTCGTTGTCCATTTGAAAGACCAAGCTTTAACTTCCTGACTGATGTCTTGAGATGTTGCTTCAATATATCCACATAATTTTCCTTCCTCATGATGCCATCTATTTTGTGCAGTGCACCAGTGTCTCCTGCAGCAAAGCACCCCCACAGCATGATGCTGCCACCCCCGTGCTTCACGGTTGGGATGGTGTTCTTCAGCTTGCAAGCCGCCCCCCTTTTCCTCCAAACATAACGATGGTCATTATGGCCAAACAGTTCTATTTTTGTTTAATCAGACCAGATTACATTTCTCCAAAAAGTACGATCTTTGTCCCCATGTGCAGTTGCAAACCGTAGTCTGGCTTTTTTATGGCGGTTTTGGAGCAGTGGCTTCTTCCTTGCTGAGCGGCGTTTCAGGTTATGTCGATATAGGACTCGTTTTACTGTGGATATAGATACTTTGTACCTATTTCCTCCAGCATCTTCACAAGGTCCTTTGCTGTTGTTCTGGGATTGATTTGCACTTTTCACACCAAAGTACGTTCATCTCTAGGAGACAGAACGCGTCTCCTTCCTGAGCGGTATGACGGCTGCGTGGTCCCATGGTGTTTATACTTGCGTACTATTGTTTGAACAGATTAACGTGGTACCTTCAGGTATTTTTTTCTGAGGTCTTGGCTGATTTATTTTGATTTTACAATGATGTCAAGCAAAGAGGCACTGAGTTTGAAGGTAGGCCTTGAAATACATCCACAGGTACACCTCCAATTGACTCAAATTGATGTCAATTAGCCTATCAGAAGCTTCTAAAGCCATGACACAATTTTCTGGAATTTTCCAAGCTGTTTAAAGGCACAGTCAATTTAGTGTATGTAAACTTCTGACTCACTGGAATTGTGATACAGTGAACTATAAGTGAAATAATCTGTCTGTAAACAATTGTTGGAAAAATGACTTGTGTCATGCACAAAGTAGATGTCCTAACCAACTTGCCAAAACTATAGTTTGTTAACAAGACATTTGTGTAGTGGTTGAATAACAAGTTTTAATTACTCCAACCTAAGTGTATGTATACTTCCGACTTCAACTGTATATACTGTATTCTAGTCATGGCTCATCGTAGATGACTACTGCTTCTGTACACACCTTTTCTATTCATATACAGTATTTATATTCCGGATTCTGACATTGCTCGTTCTGATATCGCTCATTTTGATGTGTCTTAACTTCTTGTTCTTTTTTTAGTTTAGGATTATGTGTGTATTGTTATTGTATTGCTAGATATTGCTGCACTGTTGGAAACATAAGCATTTCGCTGCCGCTGCGATAACACCTGCAAAACATCTGTGTGCGCGACCAATAAACGTTGATTTCATTTGAACGCGGATGTATAGCTGTCTATCATCATTGGTGATGTAATAACTGTAAAGACAAACAGTTGATGGTGATGGAATGGGAAAAACAGCTGAAGGACTTTGTGTCTAATAAGAAGCCTCTGAACCATACAGACACAAGATGGAGCCACTCTTCAACCCCACACCCTCCCCTCTTCCGCTTAGTGTACTCTCCCTTTATTCTCTCCCCATCTCCCCCTTCACTCTCCACTCTCCCCCTAGCTCTTCTCATCCTCACCCCCCATCCACCCCTGGACGGTGTGACAGACTCCATCCTAGCTGGAGGGGTGCTCTCATCTTATCTACCAACATAGACAGGGCTCTAACTCCTCTAGCTCCACAATGAGATAGGGTGCAGGCCAGCCAACAGGCTTTTAGCCAGCCTGCCAGCTTAGTGGAGTCTGCCACTAGCACAGTCAGTGTAGTCAGCTCAGCTATCCCCATTGAGACCGTGTCTGTGCCTCGATCTAGGTTGAGCAAAACTAAACATGGCGGTGGTCGCCTTAGCAATCTCACTGGAATAAAGACCTCCTCCGTTCCTGTCATTATTGAAAGAGATTGTGATATCTCACATCTCAAAATAGGGCTACTTAATGTTAGATCCCTCACTTCCAAGGCAGTTATGGTCAATGAACTAATCACTGATCATAATCTTGATGTGATTGGCCTGACTGAAACATGGCTTAAGCCTGATTCATTTACTGTATTAAATGAGGCCTCTCCTTCTAGTTACACTAGTGACCATATCCCCCGCGCATCCCGCAAAGGCGGAGGTGTTGCTAACATTTACGATAGCAAATGTATAAATGTACCCCTCCAAAAATGACTGCGTTTTCGTCTTTTGAGCTTCTAGTCATGAAATCTATGCAGCCTACTCAATCACTTTTTATAGCTACTGTTTACAGGCCTCCTGGGCTGTATACAGAGTTCCTCACTGAGTTCCATGAATTCCTATCGGACCTTGTAGTCATGGCATATAATATTCTAATTTTTGGTGACTTTAATATTCATATGGAAAAGTCCACAGACCCACTTCAAAAGGCTTTCAGAGCCATCATCGACTCAGTGGGTTTTGTCTAACATGTCTCCGGACCTACTCATTGCCACAGTCATACCCTGGATCTAGTTTTGTCCCGTGGAATAAATATTGTGGATCTAAATGTTTTTCCTCATAACCCTGGACTATCGGACCACCATCTTATTATGTTTGCAATCGCAACAAATAATCTGTTCAGACCCCAACCAAGGACCATCAAAAGCCGTGCTATAAATTCTCAGACAACCCAAAGATTCCTAGAGGCCCTTCCAGACTCCCTCCAACTACTCAAGGACATCGGAGTACAAAAATCAGTTAACGACCTAACTGAGGATCTACATTTAACCTTGCGTAATACCCTAGATGCAGTGGCACCCCTAAAAACAAAAAACATTTGTCACAAGAAACTAGCTCCCTGGTATACAGAAAAGACCAGAGGCCTGAAGCAAGCATTCAGAAAATTGGAACGTAAATGGCGCTCCACCAAACTGGAAGTCTTCCTACTAGCTTGGAAACAAAGTACAGAGCAATATTGAAGAGCCCTCACTGCTGCTCGATCATCCTATTTTTCCAACCTAATTGAGGAGAATAAGAACAATCCAAAATGTATATTTGATACTGTCGCAAAGCTAACTAAAAAGCAGCATTCCCCAAGAGAGGATGCCATTCACTTCAGCAGTGATGAATTCATGAACTTCTTCGACAAAAAGATCATGATCATTAGAAAGCAAATTACGGACTCCACTTTGAATCTGCGTATTTTTCCAAAGATCAGTTGTCCTGAGTCTGCACAAAACTGCCAGGACCTAGGATCAATGGAGACACTCAAGTTTTTTAATCCTATATCTCTTGACACATTCATGAAAATAGTAATGGCCTCTAAACCTTCAAGCTGCATACTGGACCCTATTCCAACTAAACTACTGAAAGAGCTACGTCCTGTGCTTGGCCCTCCTATGTTGAACATAATAAATGGCTCCCTATCCACTGGATGTGTACAAAACTCACTAAAAGTCGCAGTAATAAAGCCTCTCTTGAAAATGCCAAACCTTGACCCAGAAAATGTAAAAAACTATTAGCCTATATCGAATCTCCCATTCCTCTCAATTTTTTTGAAAAAAGCTGTTGTGCATCAACTCACTGCCTTCCTGAAGACAAAAAATGTATACGGAACGCTTCAGTCTGGTTTTAGACCCCATCATAGCACTGAGACCGCACTCGTGAAGGTGGTAAATTATATTTTAATGGCGTTAGACCAAGGCTCTACATCTGTCCTCGTGCTCCTAGACCTTAGTGCTGCTTTTGACACCATCGATCACCACATTCTTTTGGAGAGATTGGAAACCTTAATTGGTCTACATGGACAAGTTCTTGCCTGGTTTAGATCTTATCTGTCGGAAAGATATCAGTTAGTCTCTGTGGATGGTTTGTCCTCTGACAAATCAATTGTACGTTTCGGTGAGATGCTAGTTCTAGGTCCCAAGAAACAAAGTGATCTTCTGTTGGATCTGACAATTAATGTTGATGGTTGTACAGTCGTCTCAAAGAAAACTGTGAAGGACCTCGGCGTTACTCTGGACCCTGATCTCTCTTTTGATGAACATATCAAGAATATTTCAAGGACAGCTTTTTTCCATCTTCGTAACATTGCAAAAATCAGAAACTTTTTGTCCAGAAATGTTACATAAAAGCTAATCCATGCTTTTGTCACTTCTAGATTAGAATACTTCAATGCTCTACTCTCTGGCTACCCGGATAAAGCACTAAATAAACTTTGGTTAGTGCTAAACACGGCTGCTAGAATCTTGACTAGAACCACAAAATTTGATCATATTACTCCAGTGCTAGCCTCTCTATACGGGCTTCCTGTTAAGGCTAGGGCTGATTTCAAGGTTTTACTGCTAACCTACAAAGCATTACATGGGCTTGCTCCTACCTATATCTCAGAGTTGGTCCTACCGTACATACCTACACGTACGCTATGGTCACAAGACGCAGGCCTCCTTATTGTCCCTAGAATTTCTAAGCAAACAGCTGGAGGCAGGGCTTTCTCCTATAGAGCAAAATTTTTATGGAATGGTCTGCCTATGTGAGAGACGCAGACTCAGTCTCGACCTTTAAGTCTTTACTGAAGACTCATCTCTTCAGTAGGTCCTATGATTGAGTGTAGTCTGGCCCAGGGGTGCGAAGGTGAACGGAAAGTCACTTGAGCGACAAACCGCTCTTGCTGTCTCTGCCTGGTCGGTTCCTGTCTCTCCATTGGGATTCTCTGCCTCTGACCCTATTACGGGGGCTGAGTCACTGGCTTACTGGTGCTTTCCATGCCGTCCCTAGGAGGGGTGCATCACTTGAGTGGGTTGAGTCACTGACGTGATCTTCCTGTCCGAGTTGTTGCTCCCTCAAGCTTGTGCAGTGGATGAGATCTTCGTGGGCTATACTCAGCCTTGTCTCAGGGTAGTAGGTTGGTGGTCTGTTGATATCCCTCTGGTGGTGTGGGGGCTGTGCTTTGGCAAAGTGGGTGGGGTTATTATCCTGCCTGGTTGGCCCTGTCCGGGGGTATCGTCGGACGGGGCCACAGTGTCTCCCGACACCCCCGTCTCAGCCTCCAGTATCTATGCTGCAATAGTCTATGTGCCGGGGGGCTAGCGTCTGTCTGTTATATCTGGTGTTATTCTCCTGTCTTATCCGGTGTCCTGTGTGAATTTAAGTATGCTCCCTCTAATTCTCTCTCTCTCCCTCTCTCCCTCCCATCCCGGAGGACCTGAGCCCTAGGACCATGCCTCAGAACTACCTGGCCTGATGACTCCTTGCTGTCCCCAGTCCACCTGTCCACCAGGTTCCACTCTTCTGCCTGCGGCTATGGAACCCGGACCTGTTCACCAGACGTGCTACCTTGTCCCGGACCTGCTGTTTTCAACTCTCTCTCTCTACCGCACCTGCTATTTCAACCTCTAAATGCCCGGCTATGAAAAGCCAAGTGACATTTACTCCTGATGTACTGACCTGTTGCAACCTCTTCAACCACTGTGATTATTATTTGACCCTGCTGGTCATAAATGAACGTTTGAACATCTTGGAGAAAGATCTGGCCTTAATGGCAATGTACTGTTATAATCTCCACCCGGCACAGCCAGAAGGGGACTGGCCACCCCTCAGAGCCTGGTTCCTCTCTAGGTTTCTTCCTAGGTTTCTGCCTTTCTAGGGAGTTTCTCCTAGCCATCGCGCTTCTACATCTGCATTGCTTGCTGTTTGGGGTTTTAGGCTGGGTTTCTGTATAGCACTTTGTGACATCTTCTGATGTAAAAAGGGCTTCATAAATAACATTTGATTGATTGATTGTTTTGAGAGAGGGTAAAAGACAGATCCGATTCCATCATCACTCCACTTAGCGACAAATGGCAGTGATCTAGCCTCCATTAGTACATCACCCTCAGAGTTCATCTGTAAATCCAGACAGTCTAACGGCGCTGTCAGGGTAATATACTGCCGTACGACACCGCAAGCACTGCCAGGACACAACATGAGATATGGGGGCCGAGGTTCGTGACTCTGAGAAGAAGACATGCTGTACTGATAAAAGTGTGAAAGCTAAACTGAGTTTAATCCGACAGGTCTTGGAGAAGGAAGGTGTCACATTTGTCCAAGACGTGACTTTTGAAGTCCTGTGAGACACGCTGCAAAAACGCTGCTCTGTGGTGATGGTGAATGCAGCCTGAATAATAACACAGAGCACAGAGAGACTGTATGTGTCTCTGTGTGTGAGATAATTGAGAGATAGAGATGAATGCAGAGAGGGAGATAGAGAGCGAGAGAGAGACAGACATGTTCTTATCAACACCTTACAGCATTTTCTGCAAATTTAATCAAAGAAACAGTAATTAAATGCTTTGAAGCAGAGTTTGGTTTGATGACACGGGATTCCACAGGTAATCATTTCTGGGACTGGAGGCAGTGAGGGTACAGAAATAATGCAACATAGATGGCTCAATAATTACAGTCTCTAATGAACTGTAACAGACTAAAACGTAGTTGAACTTCCAGTGACACCTGCAAGTCTGGATTAGCAAACAGCCTAAGTGCACCCGTTGAAAAGGGTTTCGGGGGGGGGGAAATCCCTCCACCCTAAAACGTTCCTTCTCAATCAACGACTTAGTTTTGAGGTGACGTTCCTACAAGAATCAGAGGATGTACAACTCTATTACCACCCAGTTCAGGATTATCCTCATGTAGTTTATGCAGCCAGGCAGAGAGAGACAGTGTGTGTGTGTGTGTGTGTTTGTGTGTGTGTGTGTGTGTGTGTGTGAGCTAACTTCCAGCAGGGTATGAATTATACTGAACAAAAATATAAATGCAACAATTTTTATTTATTTTATCTTTATTTAACTAGGCAAGTCAGTTAAGAACAAATTCGTATTTACAATGATGGCCTACACCGGCCAAAACCGGACAACGCTGGGCCAATTGTGCGCTGCCCTATGGGACTCCCAATCACGGCCGGTTGTGATACAGCCTGGAATCAAACCAGGGGGTCTGTAGTGACGCCTCAAGCACTGAGATGCAGTGCCTTAGACCGCTGCGCCACTCGGGAGCCCATTTTACTGAGTTACAGTTCATGTAAGGAAATCAGTCAATTTAAATAAATTAGGCCCTAATCTATGGATTTCACATGACTGGGAATACAGATATGCATATGTTGGTCAAAGATACCTTTAAAAAAAGTAGGGCCGTGGATCAGAAAACCAGTCAGTATCTGTGACCACCATTTGCCTCATGCAGTGCGAAACCTCTCCTTTGCATCGAGTTGGTCAGACTGTTGATTATGGTATGTGGAATGTTGTCCCACTCCTCTTCAATGGCTGTGCAAAGTTGCAGGATATTGGCGGGAACTGGAACATGCTGTTGTACACGTTGATCCAGAGCATCCCAAACGTGCTCAATGGGTGACATGTCTGGTGAGTATGCAGGCCATGGAAGAACTGGGACATTTTCAGCTTCCAAGAATTGTGTACAGATCCTTGCGACATGGGGCCGTGCATTATCATGCTGAAAAATGAGGTGATGGCGGCGGATGAATGGCACGACAATGGGCTTCAGGATCTCGTCACGGTATCTCTGTGCATTCAAATTGCCATCAATAACATGCAATTGTGTTCGTTGTCCTTAGCTTATGCCTACCCATACCGTAACCCCACCACCACCATGGGGCACTCTGTTCACAACGTTGACATCAGCAAACCGCTCACCCACACGTGGCCATACACATGGTCTGCGGTTGTGTGGCCGGTTGGACGTACTGCCAAATTCTCTAAAAAGATGATGGAGGTGGCTTATGGTAGATAAATTAACATATACAGTGGGGAGAACAAGTATTTGATACACTGCCGATTTTTCAGGTTTTCCTACTTACAAAGCATGTAGAGGTCTGTAATTTTTATCCTAGGTACACTTCAACTGTGAGAGACGGAATCTAAAACAAAAATCCAGAAAATCACATTGTATGATTTTTAAGTAAATAATTTGCATTTTATTGCATGACATAAGTATTTGATACATCAGAAAAGCAGAACTTAATATTTGGTACAGAAACCTTTGTTTGCAATTACAGAGATCATACGTTTCCTGTAGGTCTTGACCAGGTTTGCACACACTGCAGCAGGGATTTTGGCCCACTCCTCAATACAGACCTTCTCCAGATCCTTCAGGTTTCAGGGCTGTCGCTGGGCAATACGGACTTTCAGCTCCCTCCAAAGATTTTCTATTGGGTTCAGGTCTGGAGACTGGCTAGGCCACTCCAGGACCTTGAGATGCTTCTTACGGAGCCACTCCTTAGTTGCCCTGGCTGTGTGTTTCGGGTCGTTGTCATGCTGGAAGACCCAGCCACGACCCATCTTCAATGCTCTTACTGAGGGAAGGAGGTTGTTGGCCAAGATCTCGCAATAGATGGCCCCATCCATCCTCCCCTCAATACGGTGCAGTCGTCCTGTCCCCTTTGCAGAAAAGCATCCCCAAAGAATGATGTTTCCACCTCCATGCTTCACGGTTGGGATGGTGTTCTTGGGGTTGTACTCATCCTTCTTCTTCCTCCAAACACGGCGAGTGGAGTTTAGACCAAAAAGCTCTATTTTTGTCTCATCATACCACATGACCTTCTCCCATTCCTCCTCTGGATCATCCAGAAGGTCATTGGCAAACTTCAGACAGGCCTGGACATGCGCTGGCTTGAGCAGGGGGACCTTGCGTGCGCTGCAGGATTTTAATCCATGACGGCGTAGTGTGTTACTAATGGTTTTCTTTGAGACTGTGGTCCCAGCTCTCTTCAGGTCATTGACCAGGTCCTGCCGTGTAGTTCTGGGCTGATCCCTCACCTTCCTCATGATCATTGATGCCCCACGAGGTGAGATCTTGCATGGAGCCCCAGACCGAGGGTGATTGACCGTCATCTTGAACTTCTTCCATTTTCTAATAATTACATTAACAGTTGTTGCCTTCTCACCAAGCTGCTTGCCTATTGTCCTGTAGCCCATCCCAGCCTTGTGCAGGTCTACAATTTTATCCCTGATGTCCTTACACAGCTCTCTGGTCTTGGCCATTGTGGAGAGGTTGGAGTCTGTTTGATTGAGTGTGTGGACAGGTGTCTTTTATACAGGTAACGAGTTGAAACAGGTGCAGTTAATACAGGTAATGAGTGGTGAACAGGAGGGCTTCTTAAAGAAAAACTAACAGGTCTGTGAGAGCCGGAATTCTTACTGGTTGGTAGGTGATCAAATACTTATGTCATGCAATAAAATGCAAATTGTTACTTAAAAATCATACAATATGATTTTCTGGATTTTTGTTTTAGATTCCATCTCTCACAGTTGAAGTGTACCTATGATAAAAATGTACAGACCTCTACATGCTTTGTAAGTAGGAAAACCTGCAAAATCGGCAGTGTATCAAATACTTGTTCTCCCCACTTTATTATCTGGCAATAGCTCTGGTGGACATTCCTGCAGTCAGCATGCCATTTGTGGCATTCTGTTGTGTGACAAAACTGCACATTTTAGAGTGGCCTTTTATTGTCCCCCAGCACAAGATGCTCCAGTGTAATGATCATGCTGTTAAATCAGCTTCTTGATAGGCCACACCTGTCACATGGAAGGATTATCTTGGCAAAGGAGAAATGCTTACTAGCAGGGATGTAAACACATTTGTGAACAAAATCTGAGAGAAATAAGCTTTTTGTGCGTTTGGAACATTTCTGGGATCTTTTATTTCCTCTCATGAAATATGGGACCAACACTTTACATGCTGCGTTTATATTTGAGTTCAGTGTAGGTTCTGCTCTGCAGTGTAAGAGTCTCATTAAACACAAGTATTCACACTTCACTGATTAAGTTAATAATTATTCTCTCCTCCTCTCCCTCTCTCATCCTTTCCTCTTCTTCTCTCCTTTCAACTCTAAATGATTGTGATAAGTGTGAGCTTTCACGGAGCGGCTAACTTCTAACTTCTCAGCTACCGTCAGCACTTTGGTTAGAAGTCCTTTCAGTCTCAGAGAGTTGGCGTTGTACCAACCTAACTGGGCCGATCGCTATTCGCTCTCCTGGCCCTCCCTCTGAGACTAAAGAGAAGTTATATGCTTGACCCACCTTGACACCTGATTGGCGGAGATCAAATATTTTCTTCCTGACTGTCTGTTGCACAAAGTCAATAGTGACATCATCACCCTCTCAGGGCGATTGACTGACTGGACTGGCAGACAGGGGTTAGAGGGGTGCTTTCAATCAGGTCCAGCTAACCGGGTACCCAGTCTCACACACACGCAAGAAAGTACAGACACACACACACAGGCACATGCGCACACACACATGCACACACGCACACACACACACACTCTGGCCTTCAGAACTAGACTTCCACAAGGCAGTCACATCCTCCTCTGCTTCACTGGCTCTGACGCTCGTCGGATGTGGCAGGGCTTGAAAACTATTACAGACTACAAAGGGAAGCACAGCCGCGAGCTGCCCAGTGACACAAGCCTACCAGACGAGCTAAACCACTTCTATGCTCGCTTCGAGGCAAGCAACACTGAAGCATGCATGAGAGCACCAGCTGTTCCGGATGACTATGTGATCACGCTCTCCGTAGCCGATGTGAGTAAGACTTTTAAGCAGGTCAACATTCACAAGGCCGCAGGGCCAGACGGATTACCAGGACGTGTACTCCGAGCATGTGCTGACCAACTGGCAAGTGTCTTCACTGACATTTTCAACATGTCCCTGACTGAGTCTGTAATACCAACATGTTTCAAGCAGACCTCCATAGTCCCTGTGCCCAAGGACTCTAAGATAACCTGCCTAAATGACTACCGACCCGTAGCACTGACGTCTGTAGCCATGAAGTGCTTTGAAAGGCTGGTCATGGCTCACATCAACAGCATTATCCCAGAAACCCTAGACCCACTCCAATTTGCATACCGCCCCAACAGATCCACAGATGATGCAATCTCTATTGCACTCCACACTGCCCTTTCCCACCTGGACAAGAGGAACACCTACGTGAGAATGCTTTTCATTGACTACAGCTCAGCATTCAACACCATAGTGCCCTCTAAGCTCATCACTAAGCTAAGGATCCTGGGACTAAACACCTCCCTCTGCAACTGGATCCTGGAATTCCTGACGGGCCGCCCCCAGGTGGTAAGGGTAGGTAACAACACATCTGCCACACTGATCCTCAACACGGGGGCCCCTCAGGGGTGCGTGCTCAGTCCCCTCCTGTACTCTCTGTTCACCCATGACTGCATGGCCAGGCACGACTCCAACACCATCATTAAGTTTGCCAACGACACAACAGTGGTAGGCCTGATCACCGACAACGATGAGAAAGCCTATAGGGAGGAGGTCAGAGACCTGGCCGTGTGGTGCCAGGACAACAACCTCTCCCTCAACGTGACCAAGACAAAGGAGATGATTGTGGACTACAGGAAAAAAAAGAGGACTGAGCACGCCCCCATTCTCATCGACGGGGCTGTAGGTTGAGAGCTTCAAGTTCCTTGGTGTCCACATCACCAACGAACTATCATGGTCCAAACACACCAAGACAGTCGTGAAGAGGGCACGACAAAGCCTATTCCCCCTCAGGAGACTGAAAAGATTTGGCATGGGTCCTCAGATCCTCAAAAAATTCTACAGCTGCACCATCGAGAGCATCCTGACTGGTTGCATCACCGCCTGGTATGGCAACTGCTTGGCCTCCGACCGCAAGGCACTACAGAGGGTAGTGCGTACGGCCCAGTACATCACTGGGGCCAAGCTTCCTGCCATCCAGGACCTCTATACCAGGCGGTGTCAGAGGAAGGCCCTCAAAATTGTCAAAGACTCCAGCCACCCTAGTCATAGACTGTTCTCTCTGCTACTGCACGGTAAGCGGTACCGGAGTGCCAAGTCTAGGTCCAAAAGACTTCTCAACAGCTTCTACCCCCAAGCCATAAGACTCCTGAACAGCTAATCATGGCTACCCGGACTATTTGCACTGCCCCCCCACCCCATCCTTTTTACGCTGCTGCTACTCTGTTAATTATTTATGCATAGTCACTTTAACTCTACCCACATGTACATATTACTTCAACTACCTCAACTAGCCGGTGCCCCCGCACATTGACTCTGCACCGGTACCCCCCTGTATATATAGCCTCCCTACTGTTATTTTATGCTCTTTTTTTCTCAACACTTTCTTTGTTGTTGTTTTATTTTTTACTTTTTTTGTTAAAAATAAATGCACTGTTGGTTAAGGGCTGTAAGTAAGCATTTCACTGTGATGTCTGCACCTGTTGTATTCGGCGCATGTGACCAATACAATTTGATTTGATTTGATTCACTTACTTTCCAAATGTTGTGTTTTACACAGCTTATTATTGTCTTCTTTTTAACCTCGGAGTGGGTTTTTAATTCTCCTTACTCATCAAGGACCAGTTGAAACTAGCTGTGGGCAAAGTCTTAATGCCACACGGCACGGCAGGCAGGCAGCAGAACTGATGGGTTTATCCATGCCTGTGCAGTGAGCTGGGGTTTGGACAGACAGATAAGCAGGATAAGAGCCAAGACTCCTTAAGCTCAGTTGGACTGCCTCTAATGCTCTCATGGCCCACGAGTGTAAAGCCTTACACTTTCACCAGCAAGACAATACAAACAGCAATTAGCCAATAACAACAGGAGGAGGCCGGACTAATCATTACTTAATAGGCCTACATCGGCTGGAAGGGAGGAGAGGGAGGGAGGTTGGTTATTCCCCTGTCCCCGTCTAGCGTTGAGCTGTGTGAAATGTGTATGTGTGTGTGTGTTTGGGTTATTTCCATGTCCATGTCTTGTATTTGTAAAATTATCTCTTTCAACATCAAAAACATTGTGTCTGTGGTTTGATCTGACAAGGCAGGGCTTTCCCCAGGGAACCACGGCCCAAAACGCTGCTGGAGAGATAAATAAACGAACATCACAGGCCTCAGATTAAGTAGAGGGTGACATAAGAGTGTGCGTGTGTGACATCACATCAAAAGTGACACTGCCGTCACTCACGGGAAAACGGCAGAGGGACTGCCTTGATTTTCTGTGTGGTCCGTGTGTGAGAGAGTGTGTGTGCACTTTATGTGTGTGTGTACGTAAACTATCCACACAGTAATGGGAACTGTTATGTAGTTTATGCCTACTGTTTGACCTCTGTGTATAGGCCCTCAGAGGAAGAGTGTGACCTCAGTTATACAACTTCAGTACAGGCAATGACAGGACAGCTACATCAGGCCTCCTGGAATATTGAAACACATCAGCGATCAACAGCAAGGGACACTTTGGGTTCAACTGCTTCAGTTAGGACAGGTAGTGAGTATGTGTGTGTGTATGTGTGTTCAAGCAGTTTGAGGTAAATAAAGGGAGCTCAGTTGTGAAATTGCGGCCTTTGGTCTCCAGGCTTGTTGCTAACTCGCTGACAGTGTGTGGGTTTTGTGTTGTGTAAGTGTGTGTGTGTTCATATAGTTGTGTGTAAATAGGGGGAAAATAGGGGGAGCTTCGCTAACTGGCTGACAGTGTGAACCTGTGTGTGTGTGTGTTTGTGTGTGTGTGTGTTAATTCCACACAGATGGAGTGTGAGGGAGTGTATGACCTAAGCGTCCTGACTAGGTCACTGAAAACAAAATCTGACTTTATTCAATAGTAACCCAACTGTAACCTTTCTATTTTCCTGTATATACAGTGATACACTGTAAAGGTGACAGTGGTTCAACATTTTGTTAATACTGATGTACAGTACATACATTAATCCTCTTTTCTGATGTGAGTAATTGGTATTACGTGTACTGTGTATGTGTGTGTGTGTGTGTGTGTGTGTGTGTGTGTGTGTTCGTTTGAGTGTGTAGGAGAGCTAGTGTTAAAGTCACACAAGATAAGGTTGACATGATTCATAAAGGTTAATATTAGCAAAGTGAAGAGCTCGCAGACAAACAAGACAGTAGCTAGGAGGGAACCACACACAAACACACAGTACACCGGGGCAAGGTTAAAACACCATTTGTTATGGTAATGACCATCTCACTGTAGTTCAAACAACAAGACCTCCTCACCCATCCACAGTACTACAAACACCATCTGTTACATACACAAACGTGTGTGTGTGTGTGTGTGTGTGTGTGTCTCAGTCCTACCTGTGCCACAGCTACATGTGTCTGTTGCTGTTGTTGCTGTAGTTGTTGCTGTAGCAGTTGGATCTGGTGGTGGACTGACAGGGGGGTGCTGGGAGGCAGAATACTCGATGACGGCAGCAGCATCCTGGGGGACGCCAGCAGCAGAGAGGCCTCCTCTGGAACCTGCCATGGAGGAGAGGAGTGGGTTAATGATGGATTGATTTTGAGAGAGGGAGACATCAATACAAGGAGAGAGAGGATGGAAGATGTAAGGAGGATATGGAGAAAGACAAACAAAGAGAGAGAGAGAAAGTCAGAGAAAGTGACATATTGATGTTCATATTCAGAATGTGTCCTTTGGCAGTGCGAGTGTACATTTCCCCCGGTGATAAGCAGAGCTTGAGGTAAAACAGAGGCATGGCTGAACAGGCCCTAAGAGAAAAGGAAAACTCATGCTCACTCACGCATCCACCCAGACACAAACAGACAACCCAATAAGTCACTACTGGAATAGCATTCACACAATAATGAATTGAAAAGATGAACAATAGCAGCTTGTATCTGTCAAAGGACTGGAGGACTATATTGTTTTTCCTTGAAGAGCAAATTCAATCTGTCACTGTGTCAGACAGAGATAATTGCCTAGACTGAGAAGATGATTTTACTGAGAAGAATACATAAGATATACTTTATTAGTCCACGCGAGATAGAAATGTGTCTTCTGCTTTTATCCAACCCCCCGATACACACACACACATTAGGTTGGATCACAGGGCAGCCACAAAGCAGCGCCCAATAAGCAATTATTTTAGGGGGTTAAGCTCCTTGCTCAAGTGAACATCAGCGGTAGGTGGCAACAGATATTGATGCCAGCAACCCTCCAGTTGCCAGGTCAATCCCTGCCAGCACTGGGATTCGAACCGTCAACCTCGGGTTGAGAGAGAGAGAGAGAGAGACAGAGACAGAGAGAGAGAGAGTTTGATTGATTGATAGAGATTGATTAGTGTGGGAAATAAAGAGAGAGAGAGAGAGTTTGATTGATAGAGATTGATTAGTGTGGGAAATAAAGAGAGACAACTCAAGGTTTGTACCCCCACTGGGCCAGTGGATGAGTGATGGTGTGTCGCTGTCTGATCTACAGGTTAATGGGGACATTACCAGACAGGCTGTTTACTCTCACGTCTTAATGATGAACAGTGGAACTAGGACACTGTGTGTGTGTGTGTATGTGTGTTTATGTATGTGTGTTTGTGTGTGTGTGTGTGTGTGTGTGTGTGTGTATGTGTGTGTGTGTATGTGTGTTTGTGTTTGTCTTTGTGTGTGTATGTGCATGCGTGTGGTGATTTCATCAAGTGCAGTACACATCCTTGTACGTTTACTTCAACTCTGGTTAAATATTGGTTTCCTTCAGACAGACATTGTCAAAGCGACACTACAACATCAATCTCTGTAGAACATAGTGAGGTACACACAATACACAGTTTGGTGGAAAATATATCCTTTAAAGAGACCAGGTCTCCCATAGCTGTAACCATGGTGACTAAAACAGTAATTTCAGAGAGTGGTAAACCTGCCATCTCATCAGAATAATTGTAGTAGTTTGAACATGAAAAGAATACCTTGGCAGTCAGCTCAAAGACAGACTGTTTTATTTATTTTATCTACTAAGTACCTTTGCATAGAGAACTGTCAGTGATATAATGGTAGTTGGAGTGAAGAGGGAGTTAATATAATACATGTGTAATGGTTAGGGGCGCTGGGAAGGCGAGAGAGAGAGAGAGAGAAATCTCAGTAAGATATATATATATATTTTTTTATTTATTTAACCTTTATTTGACCAGGTAAGCCAGTTGAGAACAAGTTCTCATTTACAACTGTGACCTGTCCAAGATAAAGCAAAGCAGTGCGATAAAAACAACAACACAGAGTTACATATGGGGTAAAACAAAACATAAAGTCAAAAATACAACAGAAAATATATATACAGTGTGTGCAAATGTAGCAAGTTATGGAGGTAAGGCAATAAATAGGCTATAGTGCAAAATAATTACAATTAGTATTAACACTGGAATGATAGATGTGCAAGAGATGATGTGAAAATAGAGATACTGGGGTGCAAATGAGCAAAATAAATAACAATATGGGGATGAGATAGTCGGGTGGGCTAATTTCAGAAGGGCTGTGTACAGGTGCAGTGATCGTTAAGGTGCTCTGACAACTGATGCTTAAAGTTAGTGAGGGAGATAAGTGTCTCCAGCTTCAGAGATTTTTGCAGCTTTTATTTATTTCATCACATTCCCAGTGGGTCAGAAGTTCACACACACTCAATTAGTATTTGGTAGCATTGCCTTTCAATTGTTTAACTTAACGTTTCGGGTAGCCTTCCACAAGCTTCCAACAATAAGTTGGGTGAATTTTGGCCCATTCCTCCTGACAGAGCTGGTGTAACTGAGTCAGGTTTGTAGGCCTCCTTGCTCGCACACGCTTTTTCAGTTCTGCCCACACATTTTCTATAGGATTGAGGTCATTGCTTTGTGATGGCCACTCCAATACCTGGACTTTGTTGTTCTTAAGCCATTTTGCCACAACTTTGGAAGTATGCTTGGGGTCATTGTCCATTTGGAAGACCCGTTTGCAACCAAGCTATAACTTCCTGACTGATGTTTTGAGATGTTGCTTCAATATCTCCACATCATTTTCCTTCCTCATGATGCCATCTATTTTGTGCAGTGCACCAGTGTCTCCTGCAGCAAAGCACCCCCACAGCATGATGCTGCCACCCCCGTGCTTCACGGTTGGGATGGTGTTCTTCGGCTTGCAAGAACCCACCTTTTTCCTCCAAACATAACGATGGTCATTATGGCCAAACAGTTCTATTTTTGTTTCATCAAACCAGAGGACATTTCTCCAAAAAGGTACGACCCATGTGCAGTTGGAAACCGTAGTCTGGCTTTTTTATGGCGGTTTTGGAGCAGTGGCTTCTTCTTTGCTGAGTGGCCTTTCAGGTTATGTCGATATAGGACTCATTTTACTGTGGATATAGATACTTTTGTACCTGTTTCCTCCAGCATCTTCACAAGGTCCTTTGCTGTTGTTCTGGGATTGATTTGCACTTTTCACACCAAAGTACGTTCATCTCTAGGAGACAGAACGCGTCTCCTTCCTGAGGAGACGCGTTCTGCGTGGTCCCATGGCTGCGTGGTCCCATGGTGTTTATACTTCCGTACTATTGTTTGTACAGATGAACGCGGTATCTTCAGGCGTTTGGAAATTGCTCCCAAGTTTTTTTCTGAGGTCTTGGCTGATTTCTTTTGATTTTCCCATGATGTCAAGCAAAGAGGCACTGAGTTTGAAGGTAGGCCTTGAAATACATCCACAGGTACACCTCCAATTGACTCAAATGATGTCAATTAACCTATCAGAAGCTTCTAACGCCATGACATCATTTTCTGGAATTATCCAAGCTGTTTAAGGCACAGTCAACTTAGTGTATGTAAACTTCTGACTCACTGGAATTGTGATACAGTGAATTATAAGTGAAATAATCTGTCTGTAAACAATTGTTGTAAAAATTACTTGTGTTATGCACAAAGTAGATGTCCTAACCGACTTGCCAAAACTATAGTTTGTTAACAAGACATTTGTGGAGTGGTTGAAAAACGAATTTTAATGACTCCAACCTAAGTGTATGTAAACTTCCGACTTCAACTGTACCAATTAGGATCTTGCTAAAAATACTTCAATCAGTTATAGAACCCATTGTCCTTTATGGTTGTGAGGTCTGGGGTCCGCTCACCAACCAAGAATTCACAAAATGGGACAAACAACAAATTGAGACTCTGCATGCAGAATTCTGCAAAAAAATCCTCTGTGTACAATGTAAAACACCAAATAATGCATGCAGAGCAGAATTAGGCAGATACCCGCTAATTATCATAATCCAGAAAATAGCCGTTAAATTCTACAACCACCTAAAAAGAAGCGATTCCCAAACCTTCCATAACAAAGCCATCACCTACAGAGAGTTTAACCTAGATTAGAGTCCCTTAAGCAAGCTGGCCCTGAGGCTCTGTTCACAAACACAAACTGACCCCACAGAGCCCCAGGACAGCAACACAATTAGACTCAACCAAATCATGAGAAAACAAAAAAATAATTACTTGACACATTGGAAATAATTTACAAAAAAACAGAGCAAACTAGAACGCTATTTGGCCCTAAACAGAGAGTACACAGTGGCAGAATACCTGACCACTGTGACTGACCCAAAATTAAGGAAAGCTTTGACTATGTACAGACTTAGTGATCATAGCCTTGCTATTGAGAAAGGCCGCCGTAGGCAGACCTGGCTCTCAAGAGAAGACAGGCTATGTGCACACTGCCCACAAAATGAGGTGGAAACTGAGCTGCACTTCCTAACTTCCTGACAAATGTATGACCATATTAGAGACACATACTTCCCTCAGATTACACAGACCCACAAATAATTTGAAAACAAATCCAATTAGGATAAACTCTCATATCTATTGGGTGAAATACCACAGTGTGCCATCACAGCAGCAAGATTTGTGACCTGTTGCCACAAGAAAAGGGCAACCAGTGAAGAACAAACACCATTGTTGTCACACCCTGGCTCTGGGACTCTATATGTTGAGCCAGGGTGTGGATATTCTAGAGGTTGTATGTCTGTGTTGGCCAGAGTGGTTCCCAATCAGAGGCAACGAGTGTCAGCTGTGGCTGGTTGTCTCTGATTGGGAGCCATATTTATAGAGGCTATTTGCCCACAAATGTTGTGGGATCTTGTTTCTAGTCTGTTTGTGTTAGACCGTGAACTGTCACGTTATCGTTTTGTTGTTTTTGATCGTGTCTCTAATAAAGAATATGTTTGCCTGCAACGCTGCGCCTTGGTCCTTCTCTATATACGACTATCGTGACAGAAGATCCCACCAAACCAGGACCAAGCAGCGTGTCCAGGAACACACGCAGGAGGTAACGCTGGTGGATGTCCTCCTCGGCTGGGGGCAGATTACGAAGGAGGAGGCCGTCCGGTACCGGAAGGCGATGAAGGGGGAGACCCAGGCAGGAGTGGAGAAGCGGCGTCAACCGGGCCGTGGTCGGACGGGCGAGTGGCACCCCCAATAATTTTTTAGGGGGGGGCACACGGCATGGGCGACTGGGCAGCAGGAGGCTGCCACAGGGCGAATTGGGAGATTAGGAGAGGAGGCCACCGGGTTTTGGGGGCCAGAAGGCAGGTTGGCGGAGCCTGGATGGAGAGCAGAGCCAACTCCCCGTACTCAGGCATGACAGCATGAGACTGGGCAGGTTCCGCGGTATGCGGAAGGGGTGCGAGTCGTCAGCCCGGTCCGGCCCGTTCCGGCTCCACGCACCAAGCCAGGGGTGCGCGTCGTCAATCCAGCACAACCCGTGCCTGGGTCACCGGTGCCTGGTAAGGTACCGGTCAGCTGCTCCACACCGTAGCCAAAGCGGTCCGCTTCTACGATGTCCGGTCCAGCTCCAGCCAGCGGGGCCAGACCGGACCAGGGGCTCCACGGGGGGATGGTGGAAGGGTGGTGGTCAAGCCCGGAGCCGGAACCGCCTCCGAGGAGGAATGCCCACCCAGCCCTCCCCTGGTGTGTGTACGTTTAGGCACGGTCGCAGTCCGAGCCTTTAGGGGGGGGTACTGTCACACCCTGGCTCTGGGACTCTATATGTTGAGCCAGGGTGTGGATATTCTAGAGGTTGTATGTCTGTGTTGGCCAGAGTGGTTCCCAATCAGAGGCAACGAGTGTCAGCTGTGGCTGGTTGTCTCTGATTGGGAGCCATATTTATAGAGGCTATTTGCCCACAAATGTTGTGGGATCTTGTTTCTAGTCTGTTTGTGTTAGACCGTGAACTGTCACGTTATCGTTTTGTTGTTTTTGTCGTGTCTCTAATAAAGAGTATGTTTGCCTGCAACGCTGCGCCTTGGTCCTCCTCTGTATACGACGATCGTGACAATTGTAAATACAACCTATATTTCTGTTAATTTATTTTCCTTTTTGTACTTGTACTATTTGCACATCATTATAACACTGTATATAGACATAATATGACATTTGAAATGTCTTTATTCTTTTGGAACTTTTGTGAGTGTAATGTTTACTGTACATTTTCTATTGTTTATTTCACTTTTGTTTATTATCTATTTCACTTGCTTTGGCAATGTTAACGTATGTTTCCCATGCCAATAAAGCCCTTAAATTGAAAATTGAATTGAGAGAGAGAACGAGAGAGAAAGGCTGTCTGTATTGGTCGGAAGAACTAAACTGAGACATTACGTTGGTAGGGAATATGGGGAGAGGGAGAGAAATGGAAAGAGAGAACGAGAAAGAGAGAGAGAGTGGTCTGGAGAGAAAGAGAGAATGAAAGAGAGAGTGGTAGGGAGAGAGAGAGAGAGGGAGAATGGTAAGGAGAGAGACAGAGAGTGGTAGAGAGACAGAGAGAGACACTTCCTGTCAGTTTCCATAAAGGTGTCCATCCATCCCTCTCAGTCAAGCAGAGCTTTGTGACGAGTCATGCTCCACTGAGTCTTCTGTACACATATAGTACGATGGGTAGTTTAAAAGCTTCACTAACAAAGACACAGTAGAGGTTATTCAAGACCGTTGTTGTCAGAGATAGCGCCTTTACTCCTTCCTTTGAAGAAACAAACAGTAGATTTTTACTGTATATTTGAAGAAAGCAGAGGGCTAGCGAGTGAATTGTTGTTATTCATCGTGATTTCAGGGTGTTTTGACTTGGTCTACGCCTTGGGGAGAAATACATTAAACTTGTGGTTTTTGAACAATGGCCCTCCGGCCTCTGTTGGTTAGTAGTGAAATATCAACACTTTCAGTCAAAGCACTCTGGACCATACACACTGAGATCAGCAGAGAGACCAATGTGTGGAATAAAACCCAGCATCATTTTGCCTGAGGCTGTGCTATGCCCCGCAGGCACCAAGAGACAGACAGACACGCACGTACACACACATATACCAAGCACTTCTAACGAGCTAACGACAACACACTAACAGGCATACTGAATAAAGATTAGATTCCCTAACTGTGTCTGATCCACAGCCTTCCAAGTGTGTTTAACTCAACAGACAGAGAAAACAACAATCCTTATGCAGTGAATGCCAAATGTGTTTACAGCAATCTGGTCCCAATTTGGATGGAAACAGCATTTGCATTTTTTATTCAGACAAGTAAACAAACGAGTAGAAGAAAATGGGGTCTCAAGTTCGTGTTCTGAACAGAATTACAACTACAAGTACTTTTATGTTTAGATCAACAAAAACAAAACACTTCCCAAATACCCCTCATAATTTTTTTACATGACCAATGTCTCTAAGTTCACACTTCAATGTCACAACGTTACAAGGCAATATCCATTAAGAATTCAACATGCTGTAGATGCTACACACTCACTCCCTGCTCCCTTCCACCATCTCTGCAGCATCTGTAGGACACTTCTGCCCCTTCCAAGGGGAAATCAGATGCCCAGATACGAGACAGTCGTAAACTACATGTTCCCTTCCAAGTCTCCACTCCTTCCTTTCAGAGAACACTGTGAAGTGCACTCATCTCCTTCCCTTCAGAGTGTGCACTGCATGTTCCATTCCAAGTCTCCCTCCCTGACTATGGATGCCCTGAGAGCCCTTAAGTGCTGTGGCCCTCTGCCTTTGAGTACACAAACGCACACACGCACACGCACACACACACACCCCGTCTGGGTCTAGTGTTGTAACAGCAGCTGGCAGTGTGTATAAGGCAGTGTGTGTGTGTGTGTTTACTCCACCCAGTCCCCTCAGACGTCCTTTGCAGCCGCAGTAATCTGCCCATCCATCTCTCTGCCACCACATCCACTCAGCAACACAGCCCAACGACGACGGGGGGGGGGGGGGGGGAGAAGAACGAGACAGGAAGCAATGGACCCCTGAGATAGAGAAGGAAGGCTGGCTCTCTCGTCCTTTAGCAGTGATTACACTAGCTGCTATCTATCCTGTCCTTCTGACAACCTGGATCCACCCACAGCACCAATAACACACTCAGAGCTGTGTGTCTGAGAGAGAGAGAGTGTGAGAGAGAGAGTGAGTGAGAGAGTGTGTGTGTGTGTGTGTGTGTGTGTGGGGGGGGGGGGGTGAATGCATAGGGCAGAGTAGCAGGGGCTAGGGGGTAATGTAGTGGGGACTAGGTAGGAGTGAATTAGGGGTTGGGTGAGGGATGCCAGTGGTGTGTGTGATAGTGGATAAGGGAAGCTCATCCACACAGAGCGCTAGGAGCTACAGGCTATTTTGGAACAGGGAGGAACGGGGGAGGAAGTCAACAACAAAGGACCTCTGAAGTGTCACTCCCTCCTGTATCCTGGCAACCATCCAGGACAGGAAGAGACCTCTGGATAAAGGAAATATTTTCCAACACGCAAAATAACCACGCCTTGTACCAGTTTATGCACACTCAGTTACAGCCATCTATCTCTCTCCCACTGAGTGCATCTATCTCTCTCCCCACGAGTCTATGACCGACTAGTTTTAAACACGGTCACCTGAATGCTTCAAGACTGTGTTAGCCTGCGGAACTAAAGCCTAGTAAAATACAAACCATCTCTGCTACATCAGCACTGTTGCCAACTAAGTACAGTTGCTCTCTGGAGGCACAATCTAGACAGGATTAGAAATATATGTGTGCGTGTGTGTGTGTGTGTGTGTGTGTGTGGGGTTGTTGTGATGGAGAGCACCAAGCGGAGAGGCCTGCATGGGGAATGAGAAGGCAGGAGTACTGATTATGTAATACAGCTGAGATGACAGGCAGAACAGCCACAAATAAATCACACACTAACTATTGTATATTCTTCCATGAGCTTCATTTAACCCCCACCCACAAACGTTTGCTTTACTATCCTTGTGGGGAACCAAAAATGTATTCCCATTCAAAATCCTAACCCTAACCTTAACCCTTAACCCCAAACCCTAAAACTAAACCTAATCCTCTCCTAACCCTAACCCCTAATTCTAACCCTAATTGTAACCCTAACCCTAAACCTAACCCCTAAGCCTAAAGTAGTCTTTTTCCTTGTGGGGACCTGCGACCCCAGTTGTTTGAATTGTCCTTGTTTTACTATCCTTGTGAGGACTTCTGGTCTCCACAAGGATAGGAAAACCAAACCACACACACACACAATGAAACTTAAACAGTCACTGCCATAATAAGACTACCATAAGTGCATCTTATTGTAGAATTACTGCAGTATCTTTAAGAATTTCGTCTGAGTGGTGTGATATACACTGAGTATATCAAACATTAGGAACACCTTCCTAATATGTGGTGCACCCCCCCTTTTGCCCTCAGAACAGCCTCAATTTGTCGGGCCATGGACTCTACAAGGTATCGAAAGCGTTCCACAGGGATGCTGGCCCATGTTGACTCCAATGCTTCCCACAGTTGTGTCAAGATGGCTGGATGTAATTTGGGTGGTGGACCATTCTTGATACACTCTTGAAACGGTTGAGCGTTAAAAACCCAGCATATACAGTGGTGCGATATACAGATTTGTATCTGTATTCTGTGGGTATTCTGTGTTCATAAATAAAGCACTGTGTCTGTCTGTGTCTGTGACGTTACTATTGATGACTGATATTAATGGCCTGCTCAGTACGACTAAGCACAGCCAGGTCATTGCCTCTAGACCTGGGGTAATGGAGGGAGGGGAGAAGTGTGGGTGGGTGTGTGTGTGTGTGTGTGTTCGCGTGCGTGCAGCAGAGGAGTATGCATTCTAATCTTAATGCTAAGAGGTCCCTTCCCTCAGAACTGTCTGTGCCAGTGGCCATGTTTACGGTAGCTGATACAGTGAGTCTTCAAGGACACAGTGTTTAAATGAGCAGACTGAATGACTCCAGTGTTACTATAGTAATTCCATGCGGCGCAACAGGGAGAGAGAGTTTCTGTAAGTGAAGAGCTGATCCAATCAGTGAAGACATCATTCATGACAGATGATTTCTATCACAGGGTTTGGCAAATGACAACTAGTCGGAGAGGAGAGGCTAAAACAGCATTTTAGTAGTTAGCAGCACATTCAAACTATTGATACATGCATATCGTTAATGTTTCAGTGTTGTGTTTGGGTAGTTAATGGATATCAGGCTAAGTGGTTGTTGTTCTGAAGTTGTTCGGGTTAGACACTGCTGAAAAACACACACTGTCATAATTTATTTACACATACACACACCACTGAACACTTAACATGCCATCTTCCTGATTCTTCAGCCATGTGGTGAAAACAACAATACGCCTTGGAAAGTTGGCACTTTGAATTATTTACTGATACAGAGGAGAAGAGAGAGAGCAAAACTGAGAGAGAGAGTGAGTGAGAGAGAGCATGTTAGAGAGAGAGTGAGAGAGAGAGAGAAAGAGAGCATGTTAGAGAGAGAGAGAGAAAAAAAGAGAGAGAGAGAAAAAGAGAGAGAGAGAAAGAGAGCAAGCAGTAGCATCCCAGTCTCCTGCTGAAGATAGTTTCCGAGGTCATCTGTTGGGCAGCGTAAGCAGTATGCGCCATTAAAACAAATGTTTTCTTTCAAACATTCAAACACACCTGCAGGCATCTGAACAGGAGAGGGGAGGATAAGAGTTGAGTAGAAAAAGACTGCACACCTCGAAGCTGTTTGTTCTACAACTCACATCCAGATAACAGCAGAGCAAAGCAGAGCAGAGTTCAGGGACACCAGTAGTATAATCTAAACAACCCAACAAAACCTAGTCCAATAGGCCTCAAACTGGACCATTTTGTTTCTCTCCGTCAACCAACGCATTTTCAACATTTCATTAATAAAGCATTTGACTTTTCCATTGTGTTGATTGGTTGATTTCCAGTTTTTAAGTATACGTTTTCTCAAGATGATTGACGAGAAAAGTATCGTCCAACCCATCGGGTATCTCACTGCACCCTCATATGCCATGTCTTGAAATATGCAGGCAAAGTACATTTACTGTGCATTCGGAAAGTATTCGGACCCATTGACTTTCTCCACATTTTGCTATGTTACAGCCTTATTCTAAAAATGCTACAATTGTTTTATTTTGCTCATCAAATTACACACAATACCCCAAAATGCTAATTTATTAAAAATTGAAAATTGGAATATCACATTTACATAAGTATTCAGACCCTTTACTCAGCACTTTGCTGAAGCACCTTTGGCAGCGATTACTGCCTCGAGTCCTCTTGGGTATGACGCTACAATTTTATTTATTTTTTATTTTTTTCACCTTTATTTAACCAGGTAAGCCAGTTGAGAACAGGTTCTCATTTACAACTGCGACCTGGCCAAGATAAAGCAAAGTAGTGCAATAAAAACAACACAGAGTTACATATGGGGTAAAAAAACATAAAGTCAGAAATACAACAGAAAATATATATACAGTGTGTGCAAATGTAGCAAGTTATGGAGGTAAGGCAATAAATAGGCTATAGTGCAGAATAATTACAATAGTATTAACACTGGAATGCTAGATGTGCAAGAGATGATGTGCAAATAGAGATACTGGGGTGCAAAAGAGCAAAATAGATAACAATATAGGGATGAGGTAGTTGGGTGGGCTAATTTCAGATGGGCTGTGTACAGGTGCAGTGATCGGTAAGGTGCTCTGACAACTGATGCTTAAAGTTATTGAGGGAGATAAGAGTCTCCAGCTTCAGAGATTTTTGCAATTCTTTCCAGTCATTGGCAGCAGAGAACTGGAAGGAATGGCGGCCAAAGGAGGTGTTGGCTTTGGGAATGACCAGTGAGATATACCTGCTGGAGCGCAGACTACGGGTGGGTGCTGCTATGGTGACCAATGAGCTTAGATAAGGCGGGGATTTGCCTAGCAGTGATTTATAGATGGCCTGGAGCCAGTGGGTTTGACGACGAACATGTAGTGAGGACCAGCCAACAAGAGCGTACAGGTCACAGTGGTGGGTAGTGCATGGGGCTTTGGAGACAAAACGGATGGCACTGTGATAGACTACATCCAATTTGCTGAGTAGAGTGTTGGAGGCTATTTTGTAAATGACATCGCCGAAGTCAAGGATCGGTAGGATAGTCAGTTTTACGAGGGCATGTTTGGCAGCATGAGTGAAGGAGGCTTTGTTGCGAAATAGGAAGCCGATTCTAGATTTAACTTTGGATTGGAGATTCTTTATGTGAGTCTGGAAGTTGAGTTTACAGTCTAACCAGACACCTAGATATTTGTAGTTGTCCACATACTCTAGGTCAGACCCGTCGAGAGTGGTGATTCTAGTCGGATGGGCGGGTGCTAGCAGCGTTCGATTGAAAAGCATGCATTTAGTTTTACTAGTGTTTAAGAGCAGTTGAAGGCTACTGAAGGATTGTTGTATGGCATTGAAGCTCGTTTGGAGGTTTGTTAACACAGTGTCCAATGAAGGGCCAGATGTATACAAAATGGTGTCGTCTGCGTAGAGGTGGATCTGAGAGTCACCAGCAGCAAGAGCGACATCATTGATATACACGGAGAAAAGTGTCGGCCCAAGAATTGAACCCTGTGGCACCCCCATAGAGACTGCCATAGGTCCAGACAACAGGCCCTCCGATTTGACACACTGAACTCTATCTGAGAAGTAGTTGGTGAACCAGGCGAGGCAGTCATTTGAGAAACCAAGGCTATTTAGTCTGCCAATAAGAATGTGGTGGTTGACAGAGTCGAAAGCCTTGGCCAGGTCGATGAAGACGGCTGCACAGTACTGTCTATTATCAATCGTGGTTATAATATCGTTTAGGACCTTGAGCGTGGCTGAAGTGCACCCGTGACCAGCTCGGAAACCGGATTGCATAGCGGAGAAGGTACGGTGGTATTCGAAATGGTCGATGATCTGTTTGTTAACTTGGCTTTCGAATACTTTCGAAAGGCAGGGCAGGATGGATATAGGTCTGTAGCAGTTTGGATCTAGAGTGTCACCCCCTTTGAAGAGGGGGATGACCGCGGCAGCTTTCCAATCTCTGGGGATCTCAGACGTTATGAAAGAGAGGTTGAACAGACTAGTAATAGGGGTTGCAACAATTTCGGCGGCTAGTTTTAGAAAGAAAGGGTCCAGATTGTCTAGCCCAGCTGATTTGTAGGGGTCCAGATTTTGCAGCGCTTTCAAAACATCAGCTGTCTGAATTTGTGTGAAGGAGAAGCGGGGGGGGCATGGGCAAGTTGCAGCAGAGGGTGCAGAGTTGGTGGCCGGGTTAGTGGTAGCCAGATGGAAAGCATGGCCAGCTGTAGCAAAATGCTTGTTGAAATTCTCGATTATTGTAGATTTATCGGTGGTGATAGTGTTTCCTAGCCTCAGTGCAGTGGGCAGCTGGGAGGAAGTGCTCTTATTCTCCATGGACTTTACAGTGTCCCAAAACTTTTTGGAGTTAGTGCTACAGGATGCACATTTCTGTTTGAAAAAGTTAGCCTTTGCTTTCCTGACTGCTTGTGTATATTGGTTCCTAACTTCCCTGAAAAGTTGCATATCGCGGGGGCTATTTGATGCTAATGCTGTACGCCACAGGATGTTTTTGTGCTGGTCAAGGGCAGTCAAGTCTGAGGAGAACCAGGGGCTATATCGGTTCTTAGTTCTGTATTTTTTGAATGGGGCATGTTTATTTAAGATTGAGAGGAAATTACTTTTAAGGAACAACCAGGCATCCTCTACTGACGGAATGAGATCTATATCCATCCAGGATACCTGGGCCAGGTCAATTAGGAAGGCCTCCTCGCTAAAGTGTTTTAGGGAGCGTTTGACAGTGATGAGGGGTGGTCGTTTGACCGCAGACCCGTTACGGACGCAGGCAATAAGGCAGTGATCACTGAGATCCTGGTTAAAGACAGCTGAGGTGTATTTAGAGGGTATGTTAGTCAGGATGATATCTATGAGGGTACCCATGTTTAAGGATTTAGGGTTGTACCTGGTAGGTTCGTTGATAATTTGCGTGAGGTTGAGGGCATCTAGCTTGGATTGTAGGATGGCTGGGGTATTAAGCATATCCCAATTTAGGTCACCAAGCAGTACAAACTCAGAGGATAAATGGGGGGCAATCAATTCACATATGGTGTCCAGGGCACAGCTGGGGGCTGAGGGGGGTCTGTAGCAAGCGGCAACAATGAGAGACTTATTTCTGGAAAGGTGGATTTTTAGAAGTAGAAGCTCAAACTGTTTGGGCACAGACCTGGATAGTATGATAGAGCTCTGCAGGCTATCTCTACAGTAGATTGCAACTCCACCCCCTTTGGCAGTTCTATCTAGACGGAAAATGTTGGAAATTTCAGAATTTTTGGTGGCCTTCCTGAGCCAGGATTCAGACACTGCTAGAACATCAGGGTTGGCAGAGTGGGCTAACGCAGTGAATAACTCAAACTTAGGAAGTAGACTTCTGATATTTATGTGCAAGAAACCAAGACTTTTGCGATTACAGAAGTCATCAAATGATAGCTCCTGGGGAGTAGGAGTGATACTGGGGGCTACAGGGCCTGGGTTAGCCTCTACATCACCAGAGGAACAGAGGAGGACTAGAATAAGGATACGGCTAAAGGCTTTAAGAACTGGTCTTCTAGTGCGTTGGGTACATAGAATAAAGGGGACAGATTTCCGGGTGTTATAGAAAAGATTCAGGGCATTATGTACAGACAAGGATATGGAAGGATATGAGTAAAGTGGAGGTAAACCTAAGCGTTGGGTTACAATGAAAGAGATAGTATCTCTAGAGGCATCAATTGAGTCGGTCTCTGAGTGTATGGGCGGAGGGACAAAGGAGCTAACTAAGGCAGGTTTAGCTAGGCTGGGGGGTCTACAGTGATATAGTACAATTAGAAATAACCGAAACAACAATAAACTAACCATGTTTGGGCTGAGGCTAAACATAAACAGGATGTAGTACCGTAAAAAGGAACAGTCCAGCAGATATCAGCTGTATAGCTGAGTTATCAAAAGGTCCGGTGGTGAAGCGCTAGTGAGTAAGAGGCCACGGCTAGCGTGTGCTACGTCCGTTTTGTTGTAGCCAGCTGGTAGCGATGAATCCGGAGTTAAAGGTCCAGTGATTCAGTGATTCCGGCGGAAAAACTGATATGTTCTGGGTCGATAACGCGCTGTGCAGACTGTCCGAATATCCGGTGATCAATGTCCAGTAATTAAAAATTAATCCCGCGGAAAAAAATCCAATATTCTGGGTGCAACACCGCTAGCTGTGGCTAATAGCAAGTAGCTAGTTCAGTAGCTAGTTCAGTTTAGTGAGTAAGAGGCCACGGATAACGTGTGCTAACGGGCCAGGGCTAGCAGATGGATGGAATCTTCGTGGTTAACGTCGTAACCACATCAGACGATTTCGTCGGCAGACCAGTCGTGTAGGATCGGCGGGGCTCCGTGTCAACACTAGGTGGTCCCGTCCGGTTGATAGAGAGGTAGATAGCCGGGAGATGGGCCTAGCTCGGGATGATTAGCCAGACCACAGCGTCCGTTTTGTTGTTGTTGTAGCCAGCTGGTAGCGATGAATCAAGCTTGGCACACCTGTATTTGGGGAGTTTCTCCCATTCTTCTCTGCAGATCCTCTCAAGCTCTGTCAGGTTGGATGGGGAGCGTCCCTGCAAAGCTATTTTCAGGTCTCTCCAGAGATGTTTGATCGGGTTCAAGTCCGGGCTCTGGCTGGGCCACTCAAGGACATTCAGACACTTGTCCCGAAGCCACTCCTGCGTTGTCTTGGCTGTGTGCTTAGGGTTGTTGTCCTGTTGGAAGGTGAACCTTCCCCCAGTCTGAGGTCTTGAGCGCTCTGGAGCAGGTTTTCATCAAGGATCTCTCTGTACTTTGCTCCATTCATCTTTGCCTCGATCCTGACTAGTCTCCCAGTCCCTGCCGCTGAAAAACACCCCCACAGCATGATGCTGCCACCACCATGCTTCACCTTACGGATGGTGCCAGGTTTCCTCCAGACGTGACGCTTGGCATTCAGGTCAAAGAGTTCAATCTTGGTTTCATCAGACCAGATAATGTTGTTTTTCATGGTCTGAGAGTCTTTAGGTGCCTTTTGGCAAACTCCAAGCAGGCTGTCATGTGTCTTTTACTGAGGAGTGGCTTCTGTCTGGCCACTCTACCATAAAGGCCTGATTGGTGGAGTGCTGCAGAGATGGTTGTCCTTCTGGAAGGTTCTCCCATCTCCACAGAGGATCTGTAGAGCTCTGTCAGAGTGACCATTGGGTTCTTGGTCACCTCCCTGACCAAGGCCCTTCTCCCCCGATTGCTCAGTTTGGCCAGGCGGCCAGCTCTAGGAAGAGTCTTGGTAGTTCCAAACTTCTTCCATTTAAGAATGATGGAGGCCACCGTGTTCTTGGGGACCTTCAATGCTGCAGAAATGTTTTGGTACCCTTCCCCAGATCTGTGCCTTGACACAATCCTGTCTCAGAGCTCTACAGACAATTCCTTTGATCTCGTGGCTTGGTTTATCTCTGACATGCACTGTCAACTGTGGGACCTTATATAGACAGGTGTGCCTTTCCAAATCATCAATCAATTGAATTTACCACAGGTGGACTCCAATCAAGTTGTAGAAACATCTCAAGGACGATCAATGGAAACAGGATGCACCTGAGCTCAATTTCGAGTCTCATAGCAAAGGGTCTGAATACTTATGTAAATAAGGTATTTCTGTTTTTCTGTTTAATAAATTTGCGAACATTTCTAAAAACCTGTTTTCACTTTGTTATTATGGGGTATTGTGTGTAGATTGTTGAGGATTTTTTTTATTTAATCCATTTTAGAATAAGGCTGTAACGTAACAAAATGTGGAAAAAGTCAAGAGGTCTGAATACTTTCCGAATGCACTGTACATTGTAATACTTCGGACAGCCAACCTTCTAACTCCGCCCATAACTTTTGGACTTTATAGCACTCCCAGAAGGCATGGATTATTGAGTCATTGTTAGTTTTACACTTAAGACAAGACTCTGCCGTTGTGCTGTAGAATTTGTGAATATTGTCTCTTGTGTAATAAATTCGATACATTCGTTTATACTGGATTAACAGTACATTTTACGTTAACTGTAATTCTGTTTGTTATGTTCCAACATTCCCTCCATCTTGTGCCAATATCAGTTATTTTTAAGTCTTGGTTCCAATAGTTTCCATTTTTTTTCTAAGAGATTGTCAGTTGGATAGGCTCTCTGCAAGGTTTTGAATATAATTTTTTTAAAGGGGTACATCAGCTTTAATATTGCAGGTAGATTGTAACTTCCATCAATGTAATTGTCTGCATCACTTCCAATCCCCTGTTTGTTTTTTTCCCCGCAAATATATATATATATATATACATTGGGGGGGAAAAGTATTTAGTCAGCCACCAATTGTGCAAGTTCTCCCACTTAAAAAGATGAGAGAGGCCTGTAATTTTCATCATAGGTCAAGGTCAACTATGACAGACAAATAGAGGGAAAAAAATCCAGAAAATCACATTGTAGGATTTTTAATGAATTTATTTGCAAATTATGGTGGAAAATAAGTATTTGGTCACCTACAAACAAGCAAGATTTCTGGCTCTCACAGACCTGTAACTTCTTCTTTAAGAGGCTCCTCTGTCCTCCACTCGTTACTTGTATTAATGGCACCTGTTTGAACTTGTTATCAGTATAAAAGACACCTGTCCACAACCTCAAACAGTCACACTCCAAACACCACTATTGCCAAGACCAAAGAGCTGTCAAAGGACACCAGAAACAAAATTGTAGACCTGCACCAGGCTGGAAAGACTGAATCTGCAATAGGTAAGCAGCTTGGTTTGAAGAAATCAACTGTGGGAGCAATTATTAGGAAATGGAAGACATACAAGACCACTGATAATCTTCCTCGATCTGGGGCTCCACGCAAGATCTCACCCCGTGGGGTCAAAATGATCACAAGAACGGTGAGCAAAAATCCCAGAACCACACGGGGGGACCTAGTGAATGACCTGCAGAGAGCTGGGACCAAAGTAACAAAGCCTACCATCAGTAACACACTACGCCGTCAGGGACTCAAATCCTGCAGTCCCAGACGTGTCCCCCTGCTTAAGCCAGTACATGTCCAGGCCCGTCTGAAGTTTGCTAGAGTGCATTTGGATGATCCAGAAGAGGATTGGGAGAATGTCATATGGTCAGATGAAACCAAAATATAACTTTTTGGTAAAAACTCAACTCGTCGTGTTTGGTGGACAAAGAATGCTGAGTTGCATCCAAAGAACACCATACCTACTGTGAAGCATGGGGGTGGAAACATCATGCTTTGGGGCTGTTTTTCTGCAAAGGGACCAGGACGACTGATCCGTGTAAAGGAAATAATGAATGGGGCCATGTATCGTGAGATTTTGAGTGAAAACCTCCTTCCATCAGCAAGGGCATTGAAGATGAAACGTGGCTGGGTCTTTCAGCATGACAATGATCCCAAACACACTGCCCGGGCAACGAAGGAGTGGCTTCGTAAGAAGCATTTCAAGGTCCTGGAGTGGCCTAGCCAGTCTCCAGATCTCAAACCCATAGAAAATCTTTGGAGGGAGTTGAAAGTCCGTGTTGCCCAGCGACAGCCCCAAAACATCACTGCTCTTGAGGAGATCTGCATGGAGGAATGGGCCAAAATACCTGCAACAGTGTGTGAAAACCTTGTGAAGACTTACAGAAAACGTTTGACCTGTGTCATTGCCAACAAAGGGTATATAACAAAGTATTGAGAAACTTTTGTTATTGACCAAATACTTATTTTCCACCATAATTTGCAAATAAATTCATTAAAAATCCTACAATGTGATTTTCTGGAGAAAAAAAATCTCATTTTGTCTGTCATAGTTGACGTGTACCTATGATGAAAATTACAGGCCTCTCTCATCTTTTTAAGTGGGAGAACTTGCACAATTGGTGGCTGACTAAATACTTTTTTTCCCCACTGTAAATATTGCACTCCTTCAGCCATTCCTGGACCAAAAACAAGCTAGAAATGGACACTACCAAAACAATTGATCGAATGATTCTGTCTCTTCACAGCAAAATCTGCAGAGCTGGGAAGATTGTATCCCCCATATAAATAACATTCTACTGGTTGCAATAATTCTTATAATAATTTAAATTGAAAAATTATACGTTTTCAATCCGGTGTTGTTTTGCGCATCAGTTCATAAACCATTTGCCATGGAATCGGTACGTCAAAAATCTCTTCCCAACTATTTTGCAATCTATATGGGACAGCTGCCAATCCTTTGGTCCTCAAATGAAACTGGTATACTTTTTTATTTATCACAATTTTCTTTAACCAATTATGGTCTTTAATGCAGGGCCGACAGACAAGTTCCTTACTTTTCCCCCTTCCACTTTCCTCTTCCATTTTTGCGGTAATGCTGCAATTATTTGGTTGTAATTTTGGGTAGAGCAGACATTTCCATATGTTTTTTGTTAGCTGCATGTGCGACAAAACTCCACCAGTTCTACCTATGATATCATTTACGAAGACTATAAATATATATATATTTTTTTATCAATTAGTATGTTTGAGTTTAACCACAATATTTGTTGAATTATTTGTTCTGTCGTTTTTGGAGGATTTAATTGAAATTGCAACCAACTTTCAACCAAGGTTTTGTATACCTTACCTATCATATGAATATCCTTTTTTGACTCAAATGTAAGTTTCTATTTCACCTTGTTGGCCCAGGGGACAGAGAACCTACGGACTGTGCCTTTAATCCACAACACTAGCCTTGGTGTCTTGCAAGTTGTTCACATGATGTCGTTGGATTGATTTGTGCCTGTGACCAAGGAGCGGTTGGAAGTAAAAGGCATCGTCAGATGAATGAGACCTGACAGGAGAAAATAGACCTTAAGCTTTTTATCTCCTTTCCTTTCATGAGCTTCCAGAAAACCCACAGTGGATGAGGTATACACAACCCTCCCCCTCCCCCCTACACACACACACACACACACACACACACACACACACACACACACACACACACACACACACACACACACACACACACACACACACATACATACACACATACACACACACCACACCTCTACTACCAATGTCACACACTCCCGTCCCAATCCATCTCTATCTAATCCATCATGTGCACACACACATTCACACACGCACACACACACTGACTCAAGGGGGTGAGCAAGGCCTTTCCTAACCCTCTGTTGTTGTAGTGATTTCACACCATGTTGGTTCCATTCTGATCCATATAGAACACGCCGTTCCATAACATAACATAATCTTTAACCCTTTGATGCGTACGATCACATATTTGTAATCATTGTTGAGTGGTCCCTGCAGCGTACCATCGTAAATATGTGATTTGAACAGTAGCAACAGAACGTATGATGCAACAAACGCGTCTAAACAGCATTGTTGTCTGAAAAGCATCTAAACAATGTTTTGTACTGATGGGAAATAAAGGTCTTCCCAACTTTATTCCTCAATTTCACCTTTTATTGTAAAAGATAAATGCGAACTTCATCATCCAAGCATCACACGGAACACATACACAGCCAAACTCATTCCATAAACCAGTCTAATTAACAGGTTGGCTGACAAAAACATAAGTTAGTGACCTAACAGCTAGACTTGTTTACAATGTACCACATCTCTGGTGAGCACAAGGGAGAAATGTAATATTGTTGAGAAAATAAATGCATGTCGACTAAGCTAACAGCAACTCAATTATTTATGATGGCAGCTATGTTTGTTTATGTTTGACAAGCGAAAACTCCCTAATCCCAGAATGCCATTCACTATAAGACGCAAATAAACAAAGTCAAAGTCAAAGATGGCTGCGCCCATTGCCTGAAAAATATGAACTTAGTTTGGCCACTTTTTAACATATTAGAAATCTTCGATGTACTTGTTACAAGCACCGGAGCACATGACTTTACAAGTCGTTTACAGTTTTTGACAAATCACAAAGCAAATAAAATGTTATCGCCTCACAGATCATCACCCCAAATACAAGCCTACTGCCTAGCCTAACCGTTGCGTAAAAGCTAAACAAGATTGCCAGATATGGATGAAGCCATTTTAGGGGGGTTTGGGGGGGTTCATTTAATTTGTGAAGGGTTTTCAAGTCCATTGGGGATAGAAATGGGGCAAGGTATCTTGGGGGGATATGATGCAGGAAATATTACTATGATGGGGGACAAGCTCACAGAACGGGACCGCCGAGTGCTGAAGCACGTAGCGCGTAAAAATCGTCTGTCCTCGGTTGCAACACTCACTACCGAGTTCCAAACTGCCTCTTGAAGCAACGTCAGCACAATAACTGTTCGTCGGCCATGGAAATGGGTTTCCATGGCCGAGCAGCCGCACACAAGCCTAAGATCACCATGCGCAATGCCAAGCGTCAGCTAGAGTGGTGTAAAGCTCGCCACCATTGGACTCTGGAGCAGTGGAAACGCGTTCTCTGGAGTGATGAATCACGCTTCACCATCTGGCAGTCCGACGGACTAATCTGGGTTTGGTGGATGCCAGGAAAACGCTACCTGCCCCAATGCATAGTGCCAACTGTAAAGTTTGTTGGAGGAGGAATAATGGTCTGGGGCTGTTTTTCATGATTCACTAATGCTCTTGTGGCTGAATGGAAGCAAATCATAGCAATGTTCCAACATCTAGTGGAAAGCCTTCCCAGAAGAGTGGAGCCTGTTATAGCAGCAAAGGGGGGACCAACTCCATATTAATGCCCATGATTTTTGAATGAGATGTTCAACATACTTTTGGTCATGTAGTGTACATACGGTATGCTACAGTAGAAACGACAACACAATATACAGAAAATAAGGCACTTTGAAAGGAACGCACACATGCCCAAAGTTATTATTAGTAAGGAAAACAACAATGAAGGCAATGTGGGCGCCAGCCAGAAAATGTGCCAGGGGGAAAAAGTTAGTGCAAGGCCTGTTCCGACTAGAGATGTGCAAATATCTGCATACATGGTCTGGGGAAAAACTGGGGAAATGCTTGGGCTCTCGTCGAAGAGAGAAGTTTGTCCGGCTCAGTAAAGCCTCAAACATAAATCTTCCGCAACAGTAAAATGGGCTACTTCTTATGTGAATTAATGAGGAGGCGGAACACACCTCAATTCAAACTGTTAGATAATTAGCAGGCAGCGAGCCTTGGTTTGAGGGCAGTGTGGGTTAACTGTCCTGTTGCGTAACAATCACATTTTGGAACAGTGAGTGCATTCTGACATCACACGCATACAAAAACTTATTCTGGGGTGACCGTTAGAGATATTTGGAACTCAGGCATGAAAAGGTTAATGGAATTCAAGAATAGACTTCACCTCACAGACCTCCATTTACCCTCTCTATAGTAACTGCAAGCTATCTGACTACTAGAAGATACTAGCTAGAAATAACTACATTCTTGATGTAAGCATGCTGTAGCAAAGCTAATTATGGGCTTATGTTTATAGTTGTGAGTGTGGCGCTAACTACATGTTAACGCCACGTTAATTACATGGTAACTACGTGTTAACTAAGTTATAACTACTGACATGTACATAATTAAATGGATTGTTTATGTTACATGTAAACTACATCATGCTTCCACCCTGTCCAAGCAGTCTAGAGATAGAGGAAACAATTATTCAGTCTTCGATCCAAGAATAGCAATTTTACCCAATATAACTCAATCTGTCGTAACATCAGACAATGCTGTGTGTGTGTGTGGGTTCTCCCTGACTCACAAAATAAGTGTCACTGTACATATCAACCTATACAAGGGCCACACAATATTGTTTTCCGCCTCCTCAAGCCCCTCTAGACAGGCCACAATATATTGTATTCTCTGGTCCAAGCAATCTATAGATAGACCAATGGTATTGTATTCCCTGGTCCAAGCAATCTATAGATTGACCAATGGTATTGTATTCCCTGGTGTAAGCAATCTATACAGTAGATAGACCAATGGTATTGTATTAACTGGTCTAACAAGCAATTACTGTGTTCTCTCATTCCAGCCCTTAGTTAGAATACTGTATATATGGAACTTTCGTCCCGCTTGGCTTGCACCCCTCTCTCCCCTTCAAACACACCCCAACCTCACCACCAAAACACATACACACACAGCCATACCTTCTTGTCATTGTCGATGTTGTTGAGGTGTGTGTGGTCAGTGTTGGCGGTAGCATCCACTCCGTCCAGGTCAGTGACGCCGCGGTTAAACTCCTCAACCGTACTGTCCGGTAATGGTAAGGGAGCCTCCTCCGCATCGATGTCTGTCTCCACAGCAACCGCCGACTTCTCCGCTCCTGTTAACTCCCGGGCTGAGAGAACAAACACACCAACACATCGTCAAGGAAACACCACAGAAGGACGGCCAATGGAGTAACAGACTTTGTTGTTAGAAAAAAAGTTGCTACACCACAAGAGGTAGAGAAAGATAAAAAGATGAGGGAGGAGTGGAGAGGACTCAGAGGTATTTTTTTGAAAGTTGCTACACCAAAAGAGGTAGAGAAAGATAAAAAGATGAGGGAGGAGTGGAGAGGACTCAGAGGTATTTTTTTGAAAGTTGCTACACCAAAAGAGGTAGAGAAAGATAAAAAGATGAGAGCGGAGGGGAGAGGACTCAGAGGTATTTTGTTGAAAGTTGCTACACCAAAAGATGAGGAAGGATGACAAAAAAAGAGAGGGGGCAGGAGGAGAGGAGCTTCATTAAGGTGTTCTCCTGTGGTTCTCTTGTTCTCCCAGCTCTGACAATTAACACTCCAGATAAGCCCATTGGCTGTGCTCAGAGGCTCCTGAGGCTTACACTATTGGGAGAGACAGAGAGAGCAGGGATCAGCTCTCATGTGTGTGTGTGTGCGTGTCAAATCAAATCAAATTGTATTTGTCACATGCTTCATAAACAACAGGTGTAGACTAACAATGAAATGCTTACTTACGGGCTCTTCCCAACAATGCAGAAAACAATATAAAAATAATAGAAAGATAATAACACAAGGAATAACTGTGATGAGTCAAAATATTTGGTGCAAAGGAGGGGGTCAATGCAGACAGTGTGTGTGTGTGTGTGAGCGTAGCGCGTGGGTACTGTGGGCTCATCTCCATATGAAAGGACCCAGCAGTCACTGGAGCCAGAGTCATCCCACCACTGTTCTGTTCCACAGTCACAGTCTCTCTCTATAGACTGACTCATCTGTGATGCTATCCTCTCAAATGGCCTCTTACACTCAATCAGGAGTGTGTTGGTGTGTGGGTATTCACCTGAGAGCGTGGACTCCTCGTTGCAGGTCTTGTCACTGTCTGCGTCCTCCTGTCCATCTGCGTTCTGGTGTGTGTGTTGCAAGCTGAGTTTATGACACACCTCGAATGCCTGGCCCACCGTCCGCACGATACGCATGGCCTGGGACTGGAGAGAGAGAGAGAGAGAGAGAGAGAGAGAGAGAGAGAGAGAGAGAGAGAGAGAGAGAGAGAGAGAGAGAGAGAGAGAGGGAGAGAGAGAGAGAGAGAGAGAGAGAGAGAGAGAGAGAGAGAGAGCGAGAGACAGATCGAGAGCGAGAGCGAGAGACAGAGCGAGAGCGAGAGAGAGAGAGAGAGAGAGAGAGAGAGAGAGAGAGAGAGAGAGAGTGAGAGAGAGAGAGAGAGGTTATTCAATGGTCTTTGATGAGCTACTGTGGATGACTTGTCTCTGTCTTTTAATTAAATATACTGTTCTCGGACCAGAGAAAGAGAGATAGAGCATTCCTATTCTCCAGATGCTTTTAAAATAGTTGGAGGAGTACTAGGGGTGATAATGAGAGGTTATCAGAGAGCAGCCAAGAACACTTTATCACACCACAATAAGAATGACTGGACAGGATGCGTGTGTATGTGCGTGTGTGTACATGTGTGGTGCGTATGTGTCTGTGGTCCCAGGTGGCTCAGTTGGTAGAGTGTGGCACTTGCAATGCTAAGGTTGTGGGTTCGATTCCCACGGGGGACCAGTATGAAAATGTATGCACTCAGTACTGTAAATCGCTCTGGATAAGAGCGTCTGCTAAATGACGTTAATGTATATGATGGATTAGAACAAGGGTGTCAAACTCATTTTGGCCGCATTCGGTCTTCAAAGAGGTCCGGAGGGCCGGACTGAAAACGTGTTATATTTCCTCACCGTCAAAATGTGCAAATAAAAGTATTCTATCCATAGTCTTTGGAATTTTCAATGCTGTCTAGCTTTCTTATCGGTGATTATAAACGAGCTGTACAAAGTCAAGAAACTGTATGAATCTACGTCCATTATAATTTATACACCGTTTCGATTTGTGTTTTGTAATTTTTAAGTATATTGCGTCCCCCCCCCCGTATGTTTGACACCCTTGGATTAGACAGAGATGGATTGTGACGGGAGTGTGTGTGACATTGGTAGCATTGGAGACTGAACGATTAGCTCTCTATTCAGCCGAGCAGAGAGAGAGAGAGGAAATGTCCATTCACACACTGCCTTGCGCGCGCACACACTCCTCCCCACACACACAGTTGAATTCACACGGCCTTGTCCTTGCCCCAGGATTGTATAATCAATAGCAGGAGCAGCACTAGCATCGTTAGCCTTTTTAGAGTCGGTACACTCTTAGAAAAAAAGGGTTCTTTGGGGTTCTATATAGAACCTTTTGGTTCTTTAGTCGAGATTAAATAACCTTTTACTAAAAAAGGTTATATATATACAGTACCGGTCAAATGATTGGACACACCTACTCATTCAAGGGTTTTTATTTATTTTTACTATTTTCTACATTGTAGAATAATAATGAAGACATCAAAACTATGAAATAACACATATGGAATCATGTAGTAACCAAAAAAGTGTTAAACAAATCAAAATATATAGTATATTTTGAGATTCTTCAAAGTAGCCACCTTTTGCCTTGATGACAGCTTTGCACACTCTTGGCATTCTCTCAACCAGCTTCATGAGGTAGTCACCTGGAATGCATTTCAATTAACAATTGTGCCTTGTTAAAAGTTAATTTGTGGAATTTCTTAATGCGTTTCAGCCAATCAGTTGTGTTGTGACAAGGTAGGGGTGGTATACAGAAGATAGCCCTATTTGGTAAAAGACCAAGTCCATATCATGGAAAGAACAGCTCAAATAAGCTAAGAGAAACGACAGTCCATCATTACTTTAAGACATGAAGGTCAGTCAATATGGACATTTTCAAGAACTTTGAAAGTTTCTTCAAGTGCAGTCGCAAAAACCATCAAGCGCTATGATGAAACTGGCTCTCATGAGGACCGCCACAGGAAAGGAAGACCCAGAGTTACCTTTGCTGCAGAGGATGAGTTCATTAGAGTTAACTGCACCTCAGATTGCAGCCCAAATAAATGCTTCACAGAGTTCAAGTAACAGACACACCTCAACATCAACTGTTCAGAGGAGACTATGTGAATCAGGCCTTCATGGTCGAATTGCTGCAAAGAAACGACTACTAAAGGACACCAATAAGAAGAAGAGACTTGCTTGGGCCAAGAAACATGAGCAATGGACATTAGACCGGTGGAAATCTGTCCTTTGATCTGATGAGTCCAAATGTGAGATTTTTGGTTCCAACCGCCGTGTCTTTGTGAGACGCAGAGTAGGTGAACGGATGATCTCCGCATGTGTGGTTCCCACCATGAAGCATGGAGGAGGAGGTGTGGGGGTGCTTTGCTGGTGACACTGTCTGTGATTTATTTAGAATTCAAGGCACACTTAACAAGCATGGCTACCTCAGCATTCTGCAGCGATACGCCATCCCATCTGGTATGCGCTTAGTGGGACTATCATTTGTTTTTCAACAGGACAATGACCCAAAACACACCTCCAGGCTGTGTAAGGGCTATTTGACCAAGAAGGAGAGTGATGGAGTGCTGCATCTGATGACCTGGCCTCCACAATCACCCGACCTCAACCCAATTGAGATGGTTTGGGATGAGTTGGACCGCAGAGTGAAAGAAAAGCAGCCAACAAGTGCTCAGCATATGTGGGAACACCTTCAAGACTGTTTGAAAAGCATTCCTCATGAAGCTGGTTGAGAGAATGCCAAGAGTGTGCAAAGCTGTCATCAAGGTAAAGGGTGGCTACTTTGAAGAATCTAAAATCTAAAATATATTTTGATTTGTTTAACACTTTTTTGGTTACTACATGATTCCATATGTGTTATTTCATAGTTTTGATGTCTTCACTATTATTCTACAATGTAGAAAATAGTAAAAATAAATAAAAACCCTTGAATGAGTAGGTATGTCCAAACTTTTGACTGGTACTGTATATACCCAATGAAGGCAAATAACCTTGAGGGTTCTATCCCTATTTCCTACCCCAGGGGTGTAATGGGGATTGTAGAAAACAACAGTTAATAAAAGCTAACCCAGTCACATCAAACTCTGAAATGACAGGTAATGCTCCCTTTTAATTTGTTTCAGCTGCTTTGCATTGTCACGGTTTCGGCCGAGGCTGCTCCTCCTCCTGGTTCGGGCAGGCTTCGGCGGTCGTCGTCCCCGGAGTACTAGCTGCCACCAATCTATGTTTCATGTTCGTTTGGTTTTGTCTTTATGTTGTACACCTGTGTCTTGTTAGTCCTCGTTAGTGTCCTATTTAGTTCTCGTTGGTTGTGTTTGTCTTTGTGTGTGATTGCTCTTCTGTTTTCGTGTTGGAGCTACGTACTTCCCTCCAGTGTTTTGGAGAGGGTTTTTCGCACATGTTAGTGCGCCGTTTGTTTGACGCCTGTGTGCGCCGTGATTTCGCCTTCGGGCTTATTGTGCTTATTTTCTACGTGAATATTGCACTAAAGTCTTTTGGAATGAGCTTCTGCGTCCTGCGCTTGATTCATGCACCACACCCACCTTCAGCACCCCTTTGACATGCATTGACATTTATATCCATATTAATTATGCTGCTGCATGATTTCGCCTGTTCAGAAAAAATGTCTAGCTGACGTCCAAGACCGTTAGCTCTCTATGGCAGGGGGAAGATCGGATTCATATTTTGCAACACTGTTGCTGAGGTGTAAGTGGCAAACAGCAAGGTTCATACAAATCTGTGCTGTTGCAAACTAAATGCTAGCTAGAAGCAAGAGGAAATACTGTGTTTAATAAAAGTATTCACTCTTAGATAAAAAAGGGGTTCGATATAGAACCTTTTGGTCAATTCAAAATGTAACTGCCATTCCGATTCAAAAACCAACTTCCATTCCAGCATGACAACTAGGCTTGGGCGGTATACCGTATAAACCGTATACAGGGGTATTTGGAAAAAGCCACATACCGTCAATATTGTTGAAAATATGTATTTGAAGTTTTTTTAATACATTTCAATATTTGTAGTTACTTTTTAAGTAAATACCTGCAGTCAACTTGTGCAATACGTTAGGAGATAAAGAACATTGCGTTTTTAATTTCACCTGTCACATTATTATGAAGCTTACGGTAGTCCGCAGTCACGTGTCATGTGGTGTTTTTCACAAGCACACAACGAAGAGAGACCAGAGCCTTGTGAGTCACTCACTGTTGTGCAGCATTTGCCAGGCGATCTAATTATAGTATGGAATTCACAACTAAATGTTTGCCAGCTAGCCTTCTTATAACTATTAAGTTAACTGTCTAAAATGTGCTAAATGCGCTGCAGTTGTGCATTTGGTTTGCTAATTTAGTAGTTAGTTAGTTATCTAGCTAAGTGGTTAGCTTCTTCCAAAACCAAGCATTCACTTGGTAACAGCAGAGAATCCCCTTCTGGATCAAGAGCCTTGCTGGCTAATATTTGTTTTGTACGAGCAGCAAACTTTGAGTAGCAGTTTTGAGTTACTTCTATACTTCGCAATGTGCTCGTTAGCATTTAGTTAGCATTCTCTATGGGATTTTACATGTACTTGTTAGCATTACTAACCTTCGGATTACAGAGTATCAGTGAGGTTTGAAAACAGTGCCCCTTGTGTTCAGTACCGGTATTACCGAATATCCCAGAATGGCACAAGGTCGGTATTGGACTTGTGGCCGCAAGGTGGCCGGTTCGAATCCTGGGCCAGTCGCCGGAAAAAATGGGCGGAATTGATCTGACAACTGGAGGGCTGCTGGGTTCATATCCTCAAAACATTCCCCTACTGTTGGGCCCTTGAGCAAGGTACGTAACCCCACAACATGCTCTCTATCCAGGGGTGCTGCACTGCAGCTTGAACCTGTGTTAGTCTCAACTGTATGTGTGAGGTCTGCTGTTTGGGGGGTTGAGAACGGAGCAGAAGACACATTTTTGTTGTTCGCTGTAACTAATGGACAAAGTTGTATTGTATTGAAGTCAGCCATAGTTGACGTGAGCCATCATTCAAACAAAGAGATGCCTCTGCTGGCCACCAGTGCATATTTCCAAACTATGTTTGCATATACATTTACATTTACATTTAAGTCATTTAGCAGACGCTCTTATCCAGAGCGACTTACAAATTGGTGCATTCAACTTATGATAGCTAGTGAGACAACCACCCAATATATATATATATATATATATATATATATATACACATATACAGTGGGGGAAAAAAAGTATTTAGTCAGCCACCAATTGTGCAAGTTCTCCCACTTAAAAAGATGAGAGGCCTGTAATTTTCATCATAGGTACACGTCAACTATGACAGACAAAATGAGGAAAATAAATCCAGAAAATCACATTGTAGGATTTTTAATGAATTTATTTGCAAATTATGGTGGAAAATAAGTATTTGGTCAATAACAAAAGTTTCTCAATACTTTGTTATATACCCTTTGTTGGCAATCACACAGGTCAAACGTTTTCTGTAAGTCTTCACAAGGTTTTCACACACTGTTGCTGGTATTTTGGCCCATTCCTCCATGCAGATCTCCTCTAGAGCAGTGATGTTTTGGGGCTGTCGCTGGGCAACACAGACTTTCAACTCCCTCCAAAGATGTTCTATGGGGTTGAGATCTGGAGACTGGCTAGGCCACTCCAGGACCTTGAAATGCTTCTTACGAAGCCACTCCTCCGTTGCCCGGGCGGTGTGTTTAGGATCATTGTCAAGCTGAAAGACTCAGCCACGTTTCATCTTCAATGCCCTTGCTGATGGAAGGAGGTTTTCACTCAAAATCTCACGATACATGGCCTCATTCATTCTTTCCTTTACACGGATCAGTCGTCCTGGTCCCTTTGCAGAAAAACAGCCCCAAAGCATGATGTTTCCACCCCCATGCTTCACAGTAGGTATGGTGTTCTTTGGATGCAACTCAGCATTCTTTGTCCTCCAAACACGACGAGTTGAGTTTTTACCAAAAAGTTATATTTTGGTTTCATCTGACCATATGACATTCTCCCAATCCTCTTCTGGATCATCCAAATGCACTCTAGCAAACTTTAGACGGGCCTGGACATGTACTGGCTTAAGCAGGGGGACACGTCTGGCACTGCAGGATTTGAGTCCCTGGCGGCGTAGTGTGTTACTGATGGTAGGCTTTGTTACTTTGGTCCCAGCTCTCTGCAGGTCATTCACTAGGTCCCCCTGTGTGGTTCTGGGATTTTTGCTCACCGTTCTTGTGATCATTTTGACCCCACGGGGTGAGATCTTGTGTGGAGCCCCAGATCGAGGGAGATTATCAGTGGTCTTGTATGTCTTCCATTTCCTAATAATTGCTCCCACAGTTGATTTCTTCAAACCAAGCTGCTTACCTATTGCAGATTCAGTCTTCCCAGCCTGGTGCAGGTCTACAATTTTGTTTCTGGTGTCCTTTGACAGCTCTTTGGTCTTGGCCATAGTGGAGTTTGGAGTGTGACTGTTTGAGGTTGTGGACAGGTGTCTTTTATACTGATAACAAGTTCAAACAGGTGCCATTAATACAGGTAACGAGTGGAGGACAGAGGAGCCTCTTAAAGAAGAAGTTACAGGTCTGTGAGAGCCAGAAATCTTGCTTGTTTGTAGGTGACCAAATACTTATTTTCCACCATAATTTGCAAATAAATTCATAAAAAATCCTACAATGTGATTTTCTGGAATTTTTTTCCTCAATTTGTCTGTCATAGTTGACGTGTACCTATGATGAAAATTACAGGCCTCTCTCATCTTTTTAAGTGGGAGAACTTGCACAATTGGTGGCTGACTAAATACCCTTTCCCCCCACTGTATATATATACTTTTTTTAATGGGGGGGGGGGGGGGGGGGGGGGGGGGGATTACTTTTATACTATTCCAGGTATTCCTTAAAGAGGTAGGGTTTCAAGTGTCTCCGGAAGGTGGTCAGTGACTCTACAATGACAATACATTCTAAAAATTATGCCGGTATTATTTTGTCCATTATTTAATTGTTTATGAAATTATATTATTAGCTAACAATATTACTATTCATAGTAGTAGCTATAATTAATTAATGGCACCATGCAGGGTTCTATATGGAACCATTTTGGTTCAGTGAAGAAGAACCTCATGGGTTCTGATCAAAGAACCCTATAAAAGGGTTCTATATAGAACTTTTAGGGGTTCCATATGTGACGCAAGCGATATAACCCTTTTTGGTTCTATAAGGAACATTTTTTCTAAGTGTGTAGCCCAGATTAAGGACCAGCAGCACTAACATCGTTAGCATCATTAGCCTTGTTAAAGTCATTAGCCCAGATTAAGGAGCAGCAGTACTAGCATAGTTAGCATCATTAGTCTGGCTAGAGTTGTAAATCCAGATTAAGTACCAGCAGTTCTAGCATCGTTAGAGTCGTAAACGCAGATAAAGAACCAGCAGTGGAACAGCCCCATAATGTTACTGTGTCATAATGACTCTCTCTGTCTCTCTAACTGCCAAGCCTTTGTTCTGAGTCAAGGTGTTTCCCTCCAATTCAGCCTGTCAATTAACAGCCATTATGGCTCAGCAGTTTCTCAGACAGTCATTATAACAGACAGGGCTGGGGTGCAACAGTGACTGTTCTGCACAATGACAAGGGGAAGGACTAAGAATTTGATTATTTTCTCCCCTTATCATATTCTAGAGTTCTGTCTTTGAGGATTAATTATCTGATTTATTAATTTGGAAAATGTAGCCAGATTGGTGAGTATTTGCATGGTCAAATAGAATCTGTTAGCCAACCGCTGGCTCAGTCTCCTGGGTGATGGGATGCCCAAAGCTATGCCACTTGCTTTAAACTGTCCACAGGAGGACAGCTAGAGAGGAGGGAGGGAGGAATTTTATTTGTATTTATTAAAATGTATTTCAAAAGGGAAATCCCATTGAGACCAAGGCCTCTTTTACAAGGGAGCCCTGCACACAATCATACAAATTCACAATTTTTACAATTCCAATGCAATAAAAACATACAATATTTACAATTAATTTATGAAAAGTAACTTAAAAAACACGATCATGAAAAACAAACATTCCTCAGTAAAAAAAGTAATGAACAATCTGTCTGAACTGCCCTAGCGGCACCAAAACATAAAACTTTAGGGAGTCCGGGAGAATAGACGGAGAATAGAGGGGGGAGAGAGAGAGAGAGAGAGAGAGAGAGAGAGAGCGAGAGAGACTCTCACCTTCTTCTTGGACTTGAAGACGTTACAACGGAAGATGTTACTCTGTCCGTCTCTGGCGATGTAGCTGAAGATCTTCAGGTCCTGGGAGTCATGAGACACATAGAAGATCCTACAGGACAGAGGAAATAGATACACAACCAAACATAACCATAGAGGAGGGACACTCAAGGCTGAACCCTAACTCAAAATCTGTTTGTGTAACTCAACCTCTCACGCAAACCTCCAATTGACGTCAATGGATGACAGCTGACTAATTAAAAACAAAATAGCTACTATGCCAAACAGAAGTGTACTATATTGTTTTGTATTGAGACTACAGGCTGTTTACATCGTGGCATTTATCTGTTTTATTCAACAAAGCTAGCCCAGCCAAAGAATGCCATTCTCTGCTTTGAGGTTCCTATTGTACTCCGTGTAACACCGACCCGTAACACTGTCGTGTAAACTAGAATTCAAGTGGAAAATTGTTCTAATTGCTCTTTAGACGTCAATAAGCTCAGAGGTAGGAGACATCACACACACATTATTACACATTATCACACAAGAACACCCCTATTACACATTATCACACACGAACACACACACACGAACACACACACAATCACACGTACACCCCGCCAAGACAAAACAGAGGACACCTACTGCGGTGAGAGAAAAAAAACCCACCACCTTTAATTAAGAACTGTGTGTGTGTGTGTGCGTGTCACGCCAGCGGCTTAGCTGATGTCCAATGACCTCTTGGTGGCTGCAGTGCATTATGTCCCTGCCTACTCTACACTATGAGGTTCTTCACACTTACTAGACCTTTCGCAAAAATACCCTCCGCTACACATATACTGAGTGTACAAAACATTAGGAACACCTTCCTAATATTGAGTTGAACCCCCCTTTTCCCTCAGAACAGCCTCAATTCATCGGGGCATGGACTCTACAAGGTGTTGAAAGCGTTCCACAGAGATGCTGGAACATGTTGACTCCAATCCTTCCCACAGTTGTGCCAAGTTGTCTGGATGTGTTTTGGGTGGTGGATGATTCTACACACGAGAGCGTGAAAAACCCAGCAGCGTTGCAGTCCTTGACACACTCAAACTGGTGCACCTGGCACCTAATACCATTCCCCGTTCAAAGGCACTTCAATATTTTGTCTTGCCCATTCACCCTCTGAATGGCACACATACACAATACATGTCTCAATTGTCAAGGCTTAAAAATCCTTCTTTAACCTGTCTCCTCCCCTTCATCTACACTGATTGAGGTGGATTTAGCAAGTGACATCAATAAGGGATCATAGCTTTCACCTGGTCAGTCTACGTCATGGAAAGAGCAGGTGTTTCTAATGTTTTGTACACTCAGTGTATTACGGCAATGTAAACTTGCGAATTTGTCACTTCCTCCGGAGGTAGTAACACACGACACTCTCCCGACAGTTGCTAAGCAGGGCAGCGTAAACAGAATTGTCTCGTTGAGCCAACACTCTTTCAGTACATTTTTTTTTATAGCAGAGCAATGTTTATGAAACAGCTGAAATGTACAGACATTTTCCTTATTTTTGGACTTGTTTTATTGAGTTTTTACTTGAAATTGTAGTAACAGCCTGTTACATTCTGAAATTGTCGCCATAGCTTTAAATCTCGACAGTGTTTTTTTGTTTTTGCTTGACTGCACTGAGCCACTGATGTCCAGGCAAGAAGCAACTCCCCAGGGAATTATCAACATTATCAGTCGCAATTTGCTTTTACCTTATATAATGAAGTCCATCATTGTCTTACATCAGATCGATTCCACCTGCACTGATCTGTCTCTTATCTCGCAAAGGGTGAATGAGATAGATCAAAAGTAATCCTGCTACAATGGGCTGCCATAACATTAGAAAATATTACCTTTTTTATTTCTATTTAACCTTTATTTTAACAGGGAAGACATATTGAGACCTAGGTCTAATTTCCAAATGCGCCCTTGTATAATACAATATACACTGAACAAAAATATAAATGCAACATGCATCAATTTAAAAGATTTTACTGTGGATTTCCCATTACTGGGAATACAGATATGCATCTGCTTGTCATAGATACTTTTTTTTAAAGGTAGCGGCGTGGATCAGAAAACCAGTCAGTATCTGGTGTGACCACCATTTGCCTCATGCAGCACAAAATATCTCCTTCGCATAGAGTTGATCAGGCTGTTGATTGTGGCCTGTGGAATGTTGTCCCACTCCTCTTCAATAGCTGTGCGAAGTTGCTGGATATTGGAGGGAACTGGAAAATGCTGTCGTACACGTCGATCCAGAGCATCCCAAACATGCTCAATGGGTGACATGTCTGGTGAGTATGCAGGCCATGGAAGAACTGGGACATTTTCAGCTTCCAGGAATTGTGTACAGATCCTTGCGTCATGGGGTCATGCATTATCATGCTGACACATGACGTGATGGCAGTGGATGAATTTCACGACAATGGGCCTCAGGATCTCGTCACGGTATCTCTGTGCATTCAAATTGCCATTGATAAAATGCAATTGTGTTCATACCATAACCCCACCGCCTCCATGGGGTACTCTGTTCACAACGGTGACATCAGCAAACTGCTCGCCCACATGACGCCATACAAGCTGTCTGCCATCCGCCCGGTACAGTTAAAACTGGGATTAATCCGCGAAGAGCACATTTCTCCAGCGTGCAAGTGGCCATCGAAGGTGAACATTTGCCCACTGAAGTCGGTTATGACGTCGAACTGCAGTCAGATGAGCTTCCCTGAGTCCGTTTCTGACAGTTTGTGCAGAAATTCTTTGGTTGTGCAAACCTACAGTTTCATCAGCTGTCCGGGTGTCTCATCTCAGACCATCCCGCAGGTGAAGAAGCCGGATGTGGAGGTCCTGGGCTGGCGTGGTTACACGTGGTCTGATGAGTCCAAATGTGAGATTTTTGGTTCCAACCGCCGTGTCTTTGTGAGACGCAGAGTATGTTAACGGATGATCTCTGCATGTGTGGTTCCCACCGTGAAGTATGGAGGAGAAGGTGTGATGATGTGGGGGTGCGTTGCTTGTGACACTGTCAGTGTTTCATTTAGAATTCAAGGCACACTTAACCAGCATGGCTACCACAGCATTCTGCAGCGATACGCCATCCCATCTGGTTTGCGCTTAGTGGGACTATCATTTGTTTTTCAACAGGACAATGACCCAACACACCTCCAGGCTGTGTAAGGGCTATTTGACCAAGAAGGAGAGTGATATATTTTGATTTGTTTAACACTTTTTTGGTTACTACATGATTCCATATCTGTTATTTCATGGTATACAGTGCATTCGGAAAGTATTCGTACCCCTTAACCTTTCCCACATTTTGTTACGCTACAACCTTATTCTAAAATTTATACCCCATAATGACAAAGCAAAAACAGGTTTTTATAAATGTTTGCAAATGTATTACAAAATAAAAACAGAAATAGATTATTTAAATAATTATTCAGACCCTTTACTCAGTACTTTGTTTAAGCACCTTTGGCAGCGATTACAGCCTCGAGTCTTCTTGGTTATGAAACTACAAGCTTGGCACACCTGTATTTGGGGAGTTTCTCCCATTCTTCTTTGCAGATCCTCTCAAGCTCTGTCAGGTTGGATGGGGAGCGTCGCTGCAAAGCTATTTTCAGGTCTCTCCAGAGATGTGTGATCGGGTTGAAGTCCGGGCTCTGGCTGGGCCACTCAAGGACATTCAGAGCCTTGTCCCGAAGCCACTCCTGCGTTGTCTTGGCTGTGTGCTTTGGGTCATTGTCCGGTTGGAAGGTAAACCTTCGTCCCAGTCTGAGGTCCTGAGCACTCTGTAGCAGGTTTTCATCAAGGATCTCTCTGTACCTTGCTACATTCATCTTTGTCTCGATCCTAACTAGTCTCCCAGTCCCTGCCGCTGAAAAACACCCCCACAGCATGATGCTGCCACCACCATGCTTCACCGTAGGGATGGTGCCAGGTCTCCTCCAGACGTGACACTTGGAATTCATGCCAAAGAGTTCAATCTTGGTTTCATCAGTTCAGATAATCTTGTTTATCATGGTCTGAGAGTCGTTAGGTGCCTTTTGGCAAACTCCAAGCGGGCTGTCATGTTCCTTTTACTGAGGAGTGGCTTCCGTCTGGCCACTCTACCATAAAGGCCTGATTGGTGGGGCTGTAGAGATGGTTGTCCTTCTGGAAGGTTCTCCCATCTCTACGGAGGAACTCTAGAGCTCTGTCAGAGTGACCATCGGGTTCTTGGTCACCTCCCTGACCAAGGCCCTTCTCCCCCGATTGCTCAGTTTGGCCGGGCGGCCAGCTCTAGGAAGAGTCTTGGTGGTTCCAAACTTCTTCCATTTAAGAATGATGGAGGCCACTGTGTTCTTGGGACCTTCAATGCTGCAGAATTGTTTTGGTACCCTTCCCCAGATCTGTTCCTCGAGCTCTACGGACAATTCCTTCGACCTCATGGCTTGGTTTTTGCTCTGACATGCACTGTCAACTGTGGGACATTATATAGACAGGTGTGCCTTTCCAAATCATGTCCTATCAATTGAATTTACCACAGGTGGACTCCAATCAAGTTGTAGAAACATCTCAAGGATGATCAATGGAAACAGGATGCACCTGAGCTCAATTTGTCTCATAGCAAAGGGTCTGAATACTTATGTAAATAAGGTATTTCTGTTTTTTATTTCTATTTCCAAACTATTCTAAAAACCTGTTTTCGCTTTGTCATTATGGGGTATTGTGTGTAGATTGATGAGAACAAATGTATTCAATCCATTTTAGAATAAGGCTGTAACGTAACAAAATTTGGAAAAAGTCAAGGGGTCTGAATACTTTCCAAATGCACTGTATGGTGTCATTTCATGGGCTCTGAATACTACGGAGTGTTGCTGGACTTCCACTCCACACATTTCATTGGTGGCCGAATCACATCACGTGCGCTTACTGCACTACAGAAAACTCGCTAACCAAACAACAGTGCAGGGCATGCTCACTGAATTAAAGGGCAACTATACAAAAAAATCTACATTTCTTAGATTTTCCCAGACCTCAAAAGTAATCCCCTGATGTGGTGTAATCATTGCTACGAACACAGAACATCTAATTGTTGT